CTATGCACTTCACTCTATACACTTCACTCTATGCACTTCACTCTATACACTTCACTCTATGCACTTCATTCTATGCACTTCACTCTATGCGCTTCACTCTATGCACTTCACTCTGTGCACTTGCCTCTATGCACTTCACTCTATACACTTTGCTCTATACGCTTCACTCTATGCACTTCGCTCTATGCACTTCACTCTGTACACTTCGCTCTATGCACTTCACTCTATACACTTCACTCTATGCACTTCACTCTATGCACTTCACTCTATGCACTTCGCTCTATGCACTTCACTCTATGCACTTCATTCTATACACTTCAATCTATGTTGTGTTGTCAAGGGCCTCCGCAACACTTCAATCTATGTTGTGTTGTCAGGGGCCTCCGCACAGAAGAACCCTTCGTGATGCTTTCGGGAAAAAAAGAGTATCTTCCTCATCAAAATCATAATATTCCCAACCATATATTGATAATATCCATAAATGCAATATCAGAATACAAAAAATACGAATAAGAGAAAGAATATAATTTTAATTGAATATTGAGATTATCATTTTATATAAATTCCATAATTTTCCTTTTTTAATAATTCATTGAAAACCATATTTAAACTATATAATAAAAATAAATTCAATTATTCTTATTATTTGAAATCATCTATTCTCTCATACAAATGTCGCTTATACGTATATATTCCACGAATTCATTTATATTTCGTGGTGGGAACAAATCGAACCATCCCATGGGAAGTCGAGCCATCCCCAATAGCACGTGGCTTTCGTGGAGTCACCCGTAAAAAGTCGAACCACGAATTACACGCTATGTTTCCGGGAGCACGGAAAATCGACACGTCGCATGGGGCACGCTACAGAACATGACAGCAAACGAAACCAACAATGTTTAACGTGGATTTCTGCAAGGTCGCGGTACATTTCGGGAGTTCGGTATGAATCAACAAATCAAGAAAATCGACGCATTGCATGGAGCATGCTGCAGAAAACGAAAGGGACAACAAGCGAAAGCAACAGTGTTTAAAGTGGAGTTCTGCAAGGTAACGTTGTATTTCTGGGAGTTCGTTTCCTAAATCATAGAACCTGTAAAGCCCAAAAACTAACCCGACAAGGGTTTTCATCTGAGGCTGGAAAAAAAGAAGATCAGTCTCAAAGAACATGACTCAAGAGAATTACCAAATCAAAGCAAGATTCCCCCCTCCCCAAATCCAACCCATAGATTCGCCATAGATTTTTGAACGTTCGCAAATTGACACCAAGACTGAGAATAATTGTACTAGAGCCGTATCTGAGGCCAAGCCAAGAAGAGCCAAATCAACGACAATATACGTCCCACACTCATGCAGGCTTCGTGCAGTGATGCAGCATGCGCTCCTTTCTCTAGGAATCTGCCTTGGACGGAGCATCCCGTAGCAGATCAATCACCGGAAAATTCCTGGGCTGAAGCTTGGCGCAGAATGGCACCCATGAGCAAGGAGCAGAGATGCAACTCTGGAAACATCCTGCCCGAGCCGGACACAAGTCACCAGGGTACATCTGAAAACCCAAGTACCTTTTCTGTCCCGATCTGCATCCATGACAATGGAGAAGCTGCGTGTGCACACCGGCCTAGGGTGGGACTTCGGAAAGCCGCTTCGGCTCTGGATTGTCAGGACGCCTCGGGGAGATCGCTAAGCAGTTGGGAGTTTGGGGCCCCTTTGGGCACACTGGTGGCAGCAGCTGAAGTCCGCACTCTCTACAGATGCCTTCGGTGGATCGGGATCCTGGCAAGTTGCGGGAGAAATATGCACCGTTTCAAAGGGGGTGCTGGAACAGCTCACAGCAACACAGCGTGCGTCCTTTGGCTTCTGAATGAAGCGCTTCAGGCCGTCTTCCAGTGGCACAGCTGCCCTGCCACTGGACGCACCATCACTCACCATCAACTCACACTAAGACTAGAGATCGGTTGGTTACTTTATAAACATATTATAATACCCTTTTTGGACTGAGTAGCTCACAGGATGGCTTTCATGGCGCCATCATCGTCCTTGATGTCGATGTGGACCGAGGCAAAGTCCTCATAGCTTATGTTTTAGGGCCCTTTTGGGGTTTAGGGTTTAGGGAGTTTAGGGTTGTCTGTGCTTTGCATGTCGTCTCTTGTCATCCCCACACAACATCCCGAGACGGGCACCGTCTTCCAAAAGAAGGCGCTGACATCGGGTATCTTGATGGGCTTGCCTTTCCATCGTGCCCCAAAACCCAAAATTCTTCGCGCATACCGACGCTCCCCCACCTTCCAGGTCGGTCACTGCATATGCTTCCGGGGAAGGGCTTTGCAGGTTTGCGGCCAGGTTGGCCAGATACCTGCTCGGACGACAGGAGGAGTAAGTCACAAGCATTCGCTGCATGAGATTAGTAGCCCTGCGTCATGAGAATGAAAAGGATTCGGGGTTGTGAAGCATTCTGTCGAAGGCGCCCCTTCTTGTGCAAGAAAGCGTAGCGTATCTGCGCCTGCGCAGTGCTTGCACACCATCTGTTCTTCGGTAGCATGCATGGCCAGCCTCCAAAATTATGGTGCCTTTTTGGGACACCCTGGATATACATATATATATATATTTGTATATATATATATAAGAAGAATAGTAATAATGATAATTATCATAATAGTAATAATGATTCAACATTTCCACAGACCGATTTCCAGGGAATCTACCACATGCGACAGGCGGCCTTCGCCGGCTGTGCTCCATCTCGAAGACGGCGCCACTTGCAGGCTCCCAGGTCACGGAGCCGCCCATTGACCTGACAACCATATGGGGGATTTCCGAAAATAGGGGGGTACCTTTTTGGGGGGGTTCCTTTAAGGGGATTATATTCTTCTGTATTATTCTATTTGGGGTACAAAAGGGGTACCCCTATCTTGAAAAATGCCCATATGCGAAACTCGAAACCCCAAAAGCAAGCCCTCAAGCCCTCCCTAGCTCCTGCAGCCCTAGGATGCTTCCCGGACCTGAATCTGCAATACGCCTTCTGGATCGGCAGCTCGGAACCAGGTCGCCAGGATATCTGTCGGAGCTTCTCTCTCTGTCATGGTCCTACAGCTTCGATTTAGGTTAGTATGACATAGTTACAATGGAATACTACTGTACTACACAGTATTGTACTATGCAATGCCATTCTTGTATGTGGTGCTATGCTATCCTATGCTATAATTGGGTATGTATGTGATGTTGTGCGATGCAGCATTGGTTTAATACTATGATCTACTATGCCACACTACGTAATGTGTTGTTATGTTGTAGTGTGCTTACCATGTTGAACTTTGTTATGTTGTGTTGTGTTGTGATGTGTTGTGCTGTGTTGTAGTGTTCTGTACTATGTCGTACTATGCTATACTACGCAAAACGATGCCATGCGCAGACTGTGTTTTTCTGTGGTCTACTATGTTCTACCGCGTTTGCATTGTTGCACTATGTTATGTGTTTGTTCTGCGTTCTACTAGAATCTTCTACGTCGTACTATGCTTGCTACAGCTATACCGCTAGAGTCTGTGATTCAACCTGTCCAATTCGAACTTATAACATGTCAGGGTAGCCGCTCGCCTGGTAGCAACTGCATAATGAGCTGCCGCACTTGTGCAGCTGGCGATGCCTTGAACATGGCGCAATTTCGTTCGTGGGATGTTGTCACGTCATTTTTTAATCCATCAACAAAAGTGCGACAGGGCCTCAAGCATCTGCTGCGTCTTTTCAACCTGTGGCAGACTGCGGGAGCACAAGCTTTAGGGCTCACAGGCCGGCAAGCAAGAGACTTCGAGATCCCCGACCCCGACATGTGGGCCAAAAACCCTAAACCCGGCCGACGCAAGGTACCCTGAGGCCCAAATTTGAAGGGCCCAACATACTAAAACCCCTCAAACCCTCAACGGGCCTCCTTCTCCCAGTCCTTGTTCTCTGGCTCTAGGGACCGTCCGGCTATGAAGGCCTCAATAGCCTGGACCATATGGGCGTCTAACAAAATTGGGGCACCTCTGTTTATACCACCAGGGCTTCGAGGCGAGCGCGCCCCGTCCGATTTTGGGCTCCCAGACGACTCGCGGAGCTTTCGAGGGTTTAGGCTTCTTGGAGACTTGAGGTTTCCCAAACATGAACAACCGATGCTAAACCCCCAAACCCTCAACCCCAATCGACCCTAAACCCTAAACCCTAACCCCTAAACCCTAAAGCCAACAAACAAAACAAAACCCTAGGCCTCATCGAAACGCTGGAGCTGTCTCAGAGAGGTCCTTGGGATGTCTATGGAGCCCCAGCAGGCGCTTTGCTGCTTTAGGGGCCTGGAGTTCGATCTTGCGGGGATCTCAGGGTTAAGGGCATGGGGATTCCTAAGCCCTAGACCTTGAAATCTTCCCCCTTATACGAACAGTCCTTTGAGGCATTCTAGTACTATTATCATACCTACTAAGGACTGGCAACCCAAACCCGTTTAGGGGTCTGGCCCGATCTCTTGAGGCCCCCGGCCCCAAGCGGAAATAGCCCTTTGGCCAAGAGGGTGCCAACTGGACACAGAGCCTGGCAGGCCCATGATGGATCCAGCCCTGCGCAGCATCTCTTTCTAGGAGGTTAGGGGTTTAGGGTTTAGGGTTCAGGGTTCAGGGTTTAGGGTTTAGGGTGCACCTTGCATCAGCGAGCGCCGCCTCTGCTTCCTCAACCTGAGGAATTGTTTCCGAATACGGCAGTGCTCGTGGCGTCTGATGCACAGCCGTCCACGTGCCTGAAGGCGAGCCGCCGAACGGTTTGAGTACAACCTAGGCAGCAGCCAGGCAACAGTGTGCCAAGAGCAACACGAGCAACGCATTGAAGCGCTGGGATTGCTGCGTGTGTAGCGTCTTCAGTTCTTCCTCTACCTCTTTGGGCGAGGCCTGAGCTGTGTTTGCTCCCGAACTATCAGCTAGCATCTTGGGACATGTAAGGGTACTCTTCAATGTCGAGGCGAGAGCCCGAATGGCTCGAGTGTAATGATCTATCGCACGTCTGAAATCCTCAGGTCTGATACGGGCTGCTCTGGCGCCGTGGTGTGAAACCATCAATGCCAAAGCCTTCTGCTTGAAGGCATCGCTGCCCTTGGCCTTCTCGTCAGCGACAACCTTGACCAGCAGTCGCTGATTTTATCTATCCCCACATCTGCAAACATGTGCGAAACGTGCCTCCTTCCAGTCGGATGTTGGGCTGGACGCCTCCTTCACACTTACACAGGATTCCAATGATTTCACCCCGATGCAAACGCCCACAAAGCCTCCTGTGGGGCCGCTTCTTGCTTTTTGTCCGAGGGAAGGCATGGGCAGAGCACCTCAGCCAACTGCTTGCCCTGGCGAGCCTTGATGAAGCTTGAACCAACTAGAATTCAATTCGCCTCGCAATATGCTCCCTATAGTATAGGGAGCTCACACGCAGATCTTCCAGCAGTCGATGCCTCAGAATGCCACAGAGAGTTTATTCACAAAAAGACTGTCGACTATAGGGTGCAATCCTTGTGCTACACATGTTCACGCATTGCAATCAAGAAGCAGCTGATGGACGCAAGTGTCGTCCGACTTTTCCTTGTCACAACATTGGGGCTCAGGGTTGGAGAGGTACATGCTTCATGGGTGCAAAGGACCACTCATGTTCAAAGATTCAGATTCCGGATCGTGCCACCCGGAAGGGTGCATCTCTACACCCCAGGGAGGGCTCTCACCTGCGCCCGCCCTCCCCTCCCCCCTCGCCCCACCCCCGCACACACTTTTTGGTTTGGAGATACTTAGCGAAGCTTGGGGGGTTTAGGGGCCGGGACAAGCCAGGCATCAGATATGCCTTGGTCATGCTTCCACTTTTTTTAGATTTGTGTTTATGTAATACATATATATATATAGACGTCTGAGTGCCTATAATGCCAATACACACGAATACACACAATGCCATGTAAATATACGTTCATGCACTAACATGTAACATGTAACATAACATAACATGCCATAACATAATGCGACATATCATTGGTTCGTCAAACTTCTGCACTGAAAGACCCCCGCCGGAGCAGCCGGCGTTGTGGCGTAACGTTCCAGCCGCCCCTTCTCAGACAAGACGCACGCCTGGCCAGCGGATCAGCAGCAAGCGGGTCAAATGCATCAAAGCCGGCACCCGCTGACTGGCGCACCTCTGCTTCGTTGAACTCGGGCTTCGCCGGCTTCTGCCATCAAGGGGCCGCCCATAAACAAATCCAAGCAGGCTGTGCAACGCCCGGGAACGTATCCAAGCCCGTTTTTTGGCATCCCCTCCTCGATCTTGACTTCTGAAAACTGCCGCAGGAAAGAAGCCGAAGAGAACTCCAGGGCATCCAGCCTCGGCGAGGCTGAACATACACACGCGGTTGCACGGGCCGCCGCCCAAAGGAACCAGTCTTCCGGTGAGACACTGCCCTTTTTTCCGGGCCTCTTTCCATGAAAGAAGGCCCCTAAACCCTAAACCCTAAAGCCACTGCTCTCTTTCACATCATGTCTTGCATGCGGAGCGTCGCAAGGCCGCAATCGCTCGCATCCACTTGCGGGTGTGGGGGGCGGGGGGGGGGTGGGCCAGTGCGCCCAACATGCGAGTGCTCTGAAGTCTCGATTGAGCAGACCCTGCTCTTATTATGCTGTATACTACCAAAGCCTCAACCTTGAGCCCTTGAAATCCTCCCTGAGTGCGGAGCGCATCCACAACCTCGCGGAGCGGCAAGTGGCCGTGCTCCCTGCGGATGAAATCCTGTCTCGGCCACTCCACGCCCTTTAGCCTCTGAGGGGTTGGGGGGTTTCGAGTCTAGATGGATTTGGGGTCTAAAGTGGGCGCAGAGGTCGCGGCTGTGCGGTCAGGCGCTCTGACATCTTCGACACGGGGTGTAGCCCGGTGGACCAGCCTCTGGGTGCAATCAAAGCAAGGGACTTCAACTTCGCTGCACGTCTTGGCATTGCACCGGTGCAAGTCTGCTGCCGACATTGATCAAAAAGGCAAGGTGCAAGTCCAGTGATAGTGTCACATGGTGATCGTTGTGTGCTCACTGTGTTGAGGGCCACTGTCGCAGTTGCGCAGTTGCAGGCCACTGCAGGCTTGTGTGCGTATGCAAGGTGCGAGGAAGGCTGCATTAAACTGCCTTATCCTGAGCAGCTGCGGATGACAAAACGATGATGACCACCAGGGAGCTCAGACCACATAAGTATCGTGAATGCATGAAGCTCGGCAGCGCGATTTTTGTGCTTTGGGCGCATGGGGCGCCTATCTCAGCTGCCAGAAACCAATGCGTAGAACTCCTGGGCCCAGGGCTTCAAATTAGGGTCCGCTGACATCGACCACAGGGGTAGAGCGACTTAGGTTTAGGGTTCCTGGGGTTGACAGGGTTTGCAGGGTCTGCAGGGTTTAATAGGGTTTATAGTGTGCTTAGGGTCCTAGTAAGAACGACTTGAGAACCTTCCCTAACGGAAGCAGGCTTGCGGGGCTTCTGACAATGGTCCTGTCCCAGCTCGCGGTAGTCCGTGGTCAGCTCCTTCCACCAGGGCCACGGTGAACATGTGCCGCACCCACCCACCGAACCCTCTAAGCCCGTCCCCAGGCCCTCAGCCCCAAACCCTTAGACCACAGCGTCCAAGTCCCGAACTTATTCCTCGACCCTTTTGCCTAAACTGCCGAACCACCTCCAATGATCTCAACCCTCGCATCAGCCCGCAGCTGCCCCAAGAGTGATCCTACTTGTACAGAGGAAGCCTCTTACACCCTTAAGAAGCCCCTGTAAACCCTGTAACCCTAAACCTGAAATAGCCCACAAACCCTAAACCCGAAACACCTTACACCCGAAACAACCCTACCAGTATAAACCCTGAACCCCAAACTTCCAAACCCAAAAGCCCTATCACCCCGAAACTCTCAAACCCTAAAACCCTATAAGCCCGAAACCCTAAACCCTAAACCCTATAAGCCCGAAACTTCCAAAAACTTCGCTGATGGCTCAACCCGTGGGATCCTCTCCAGCTTCAATCTGCCTCCTGCAGCCAAGTGTCAACTCCCGCGGTTTAGGGTTGAGGGTTTAGGGTTTCTATGGTTCTACAGGGGCTTGGGGTTTAGGTTTTAAGGTTTGGGGGTCGAGGGTTTAGGGTTTCTACGGTTGAGGAATCTAGCCTCTCTGAGCTGGATGCTTTGACTTGACAAGCGTCACTTCTGGTACCATAATGGGTGTTTGTCTGCTCTGCTTTCTGCATTTTTCCAGAGTGGTTCTTTCTCTCGATTTCTTTCGTGGATTTTGCCGTTGGCTTTCTTGGCTGTTATTGCTGCTTTGTACTGTCTGACTGAGTTACCTGTTGCTCTGAGCTGTGCTGTTCTGCAGTCTTTGTAACTTGTGCTGGTTCTTCCTCAATGGATATGTGAACAGAAGAACTTACACATGAAAGGCTGCAGCGGGTGTCGGCTCTGATAACGAGCATCTTGGTGAGGCTGTCAGTTGTGGGGACTCTTCACAAGGCTAACATCCTGACTGATTCCCCGGCACGTAGAAACAGTTGTTACTTGATTCACTTGTTGAATGAAAAGGGCCTCCGACTGTATCTTGGAACTTTTCACAGCAAATAGCAGCAAATAACAGAAGCCCGTCTTCAAGAAGCTCGATCCACAACCGTCCTCTTGCCTGCTCGGGTGAGCTCTTCGTCGTTGTACTGTGTTTTTGGTGCAGTTGATATTGTCAGCCCTGCTTCTCGTGCAGCGTATGGGTTGAGAGTTCTGTCGGTACGAGGCGTTTGGGGGGCATCGATTTGCGCAGTGCTTGTTGGATTCAAGCAGTTTCCAGGGTTCTGAGTCATCAGATACTGGAAGAAGAGTCGCTAACGACCTGGCCTTGTGATGAAAGAGTTGTATTCTCCATCCTCTTCGGCCTGAGCCCAAGCTCTAAAAGGGGTGATGGGGTTGATCTAAACCCTCAAGAAGCTCTCTGATGATGCCAAAAGCCCTAAACCCCAAGCCTTTGAACAAGGGGCCCCCATACTTTGGATCAACCCCCCTCGGTCGATGGCCCTGAACCAAGCTCCGCGCATCTTTGAATGCCACGTTTGGCTCGTCGGAGTGGTTCAGGTACCTTCCAACTCGTTTAGGGTTTAGGGTTTAGGGTTTGTCATCGAGCAAACAGATGCGGCCACCAGGACAGGTTCAAGTTGTTCATGCCCGATGCCAGCACGCCGTAGATGATCTGCGACGGACGTGGTGAGCATAGCGCGCAAGGGCGCATGTGTTATCATATATTGTCATATATTATCATATATTGTCATATCTTATCATATATTAGTAATATATTATTATTTAGTATCATATATTATCATATATTAAGATGGGCCAGGCACCTGCAATCTAAAGGCCCTGAGCATAATCCTGGAGACCATGCCCGCCAAGAAGGTGATACGGGTAGAGGGCTTGCAGGGCTTAGGGCCTAGGGCTTGATTGTCCAACCATCCCAATACCTTGCTTGGCGTGCCCACGGTCCCTCAACAAACAACTGTTGTGCCATCACTATGGAGGCCCTAATATGTATTTAGGCAAGTATCTTGCCATGGGTACTAGCAAGCTGGGGTCCATGTGGCCTAAAGGCCCTAAACCCTGGCAAGTGGCTCCACACCTCGCCATCTTCATCTCGCACGGGCGTCCAGGCATCATCCATGGTCAACGCGGCGAAAAATGATTTCACCTCCAAGTTCTGAGAAAGCAGAGGTTTTGGGGGCAGAGTTTTAAGGGTTTCGAGTGGTCCGAAGCATTAAACCCCTAGCGCTTTGTGAATGTCTGGGTCATCGCTCTCACAGGCGCGCCTTGTCCAGAACACCATCTGGCATCGCCTTACTCCATGCAAGGCCCAATGTAAGGTTTATCTGGGGGCCCTAAACCCTCAACCTCCTGAAAATAGATTTGTTGCAGCCGAGCTGAAGACGCGCAGTTCTGCTTGTGAACAAGTGCAGAACTTCTCCTGATATGTCATGTCAACTGATCTCTGCACATCGACCTTGATGTGTGGGACATGCCCCATGCCTGGCATGTGCAACTTGAAGCCGTGATTTTAGTCTAAGGGCGGCGGGGGGGGGGGGGGGGGGGGGGGGGGGGGGGAGCGTAAAACGGATGAACCTCTTGAACTTGGGATGTTCCCCCTTGTACAAACAGTCCTATGCTTGGGATTATAGTACCCCCCCCCCCCATTATAATCCCTATTCAGGACTGCTAGTATAAGGGGGAACATCCGAATATCCCAAACTTTTGAACCTGACAGCCAAAGACAACAGCCCAGCAGTCGATCCAGCAACAGCGGGACTCAAACTCTTTTTTGCCTCACTGGCACGGCCATGGCCAGTCCAAGACGCGGATTCTTCCCAAAGCCTCAAATTGATCGGGCATCCGGGATGCAGGGCTTTTGGGAACTTTTAGGGTTTAGGGTTTAGGGTTTAGGGTTTAGGGTTTAGGGTTTAAGGAGATTTGGGCAAGGGGGTGGGGGGGTGGGGTTTAGCTGTAGATATACTCAATGAACATATGTACACGGTAGGCGTATAGATAACGATGCAAAACCTCTATGTAGGGGGGATATAACGTACTCACTTCCCTCACTCCTACTACTTAAGTGCCAGTAGGTAACCCTTCACCCCCCCCCCCACCCTCCACCCCTGACAAAACATTGAGGCAAAAGCTGGGCCTCTCATATCCCCTAAACCCTAAACCTTAGACGCCAAGAATCCATCTTTTGGCCCTGGCAGATGCCCTCCGCCAGGCCCTGCATACGTCGGAGTTGCTCCATCTCTCGGCCCGTACCCTGGACTTCCTTACTGGAGATCTCCACTTTTGCTGACAAAAGGTTGGCCCTCTGGGTCTGAAGAGGTGCTGTAGAGCCCAAACTGAGGTTCTTGAAGGAGCTGTTTATGTACTCTCCAAAACTCACACACACACAAGAATAAAGAGAGGGTACCTAACTCAGCACCTAAGTATCTCCCGAGGTGGCCCGCGCAGACGCCTCACTGAGCCGCTCGTAGCGCGAGCGATCTTGGGGCTCCTGGTGCAGTAGCAGGAGCCAGGCCTGGACCTCGTGGAGGATGTTGCGAATGTTTGGGGAGATTGACCGCCTCTGCATATCGCAGCGGAGGTCCGGCACGCACTCGGGCTTTGAACCCAGAAGGAAGCTCTTGGATCGAGCAGCATAGGTGATTGAAGTCAGTTCGACACTTGGAGACAGGTGATCCCAGAAGTTGTCAGCACGCTGCATGTCATTCTGCTCGGCAGCTGCATCCATCAACGTCGCCAGTGTGACGCAATCGGGTACAAGCCTTCGTGTCGCGCTATTTCGCAGTTCCTCTTCTACAGCTTCCCAGCCTTCTGGACCCGAATGCCGTGCCAGAGTATCCAGATATCGGTTCCACAAAGCGGTGCTACATTCTGGGGTGTTTTGCCAGAGCTGTGTGGCCCATTCTGCATCCCCGGCTTTGGAACAAAGATGAAGAGCAGCCTTAACTACGGCGGCGTCTGGCTTATGCCCATCATGCAACATCCATTGCCACGCCCGTTTACCTGCCACAAGGCCCAACTTTTTGGTATGGCGGCGCTGTCGGTCAATGGCTTTTGCACATGCCTGGATTAGGATGGAGTATGCTGTCAACTTGAGGGGGATGTTCCTCTCACGGGACAGATTCCACACTCTCAGCAGAGTTGGGAGATCCCGCAGGTCTCCGCATACCTGCATGGCCTTGGCAAACTCGAAGCTGCGTGCTTTCGGTTCGGCTCTCAAAGAAGGGAGCACTTGCTCGCAACTCTTCGCCTCCTCAATTCTGCAGACACTGGCGCTGAAACCACTTTGCAGTAATGCTTGCTTCAGAGAACCACACCCGCCCAATACACCCAACATGCCCTAAACCCTAAACCCGAAACCTTGAGCCCCATAGGTATGTTCATTGACAACATTGACAAGCGGCTCCGAGCTGGCCCAGAAGCACCGCGCAAGCTTGCGGGCGAGGTGAAGGCACGTGCCTTCTCTAGATTGCAGTTCCTTTTGAGGATCCCTTTTGTTAGGGTCTATATCCCTGTAGGGCCTTGTCCACACTACGGGCCCCGTGCGGGGTTCCTATAATAAACTATCGGAGATTTCTTCTCACGGTGCCCAACAACAAGAGGGGACCAACCATTAGGGAACTGACGACCGCAAGCAGTGTGCGTAGATGCATCTATATGCTGCAGGCTCGAGCCGGGCGGTGAGTCCAAATGTGAGTACGGCTTGTCATTTTAGACATTCTCGGAAAAGATTTTGGATCACCTAGCCCAAGCCCTCAACCGCCCTAAGCCCTAAACTTCAAGGCAAAACTAATGGAGCGGTGCTTGTTCAAGGCGCCCAAGACTCCATGCATAACGTGGAGTCGGACGCATGTAGACTAACCCCAAACAGTAAACCCTAAACCGCTTCGGAGGTTCTGTAGTCGGGCCTATGATAATCTATGGTGAGACCTTCAGGAAATCCCTATCATCTATGTCCTTTTTGGGGGGTTTCCTCGATTTCCTCTCGAGATGAGTACAAAACTGTACTACTTCGGGGTATTTTATGGGTTACCTCTATTTTGGGGGGGGAAACTCAGACAGCCGCGATGGTCTGAAGGGCCTCCGCCCCTTGCCCGGCTCCGTGCCAGAGTTCCCAGAGATGCTTGGAAGGGAGCGGGCGAAGCGAGCAGATGCACCATGAGGCACCCAGGCACGGCACGTGCGAAGCATCGGACGAGGGTGTGGGAAGGGATCCCTAAACCCTAAACCCTAAACCCTAAACCCTAAACCCTAAACCCTAAGCCCTAAGCCCTAAGCCCTAAGCCCTAAACCCTAAACCCTAAACCCTAAACCATGAACTCAACGAAACCAAGTGACCAAGTGATGGGCTTTGAAGGCTATCTGCATTGATAAACGCAGGAGCTTGAGCTCAAAGCAGCTGCTACAACGCTCTTTTTCTACGTCCCTACGTACGGCGCTGGAGTTTGAGGGCCCCTCTCACAAGCATCAGAGTATGTTGCTATCTGACAAATCTCAGGCGTCGCTCATCATATCTTCTGCTAGCACTGCGTCCTTGGCCGCCAAGTGCGGGTTGCAGATCGGGAACGGATCAACTCCCTCGGGAATCTGCCTCAGACTCGAGGCAAAGAGCTGGGAGCGTCTCAGAAATGGGTGCGTGCTGATGCGAAAAAAAGCTTGCTGCTTGCTGCTGGCCATACTTTGTCTAGTCCCTGTCTTTGGGTCATTGTGGTCTCTCTGCCTTTGTGGGCGTTCCGCGTGGTGTTGAGGATGCAAGAAACCTAGGAAACTTCTATACTAGGCCACAAACTAAGCCTGGTTCGAGTCTCCGCAGCCTCATTGGAATCGGCAGCTCGGCCTCTGAGGCTGGGGCCGAAAGGCCCGTACTCCGACGCCTGCAATTGGAGACGCAAAGAGCTCCACATATGCCTCGAAGCGATTCTGTAGGGTTTACAAGACAGCTTGGGAAGGTTCAGAAGGCTTCTGGGTTGGCTGTGGTGTGGTGGGATGGAGCTGTGAAGGTCCTCTGCCTGCCCACAGAAGGCAGAGAAGATTCTCTCCTTAGGGGCCTACAGATTTAGGGGTTGCATGTAGAACGTGAGCAAGATATTCTACAGACTCCGACCGAGAGGAGGCAATAAACTTAGAGCTCGGAGCCCTGCCTCCGACCGGAGGTGGTTCAGCAGGCGCTGCTTGTCCTGGCTCAAAGCGAAGCTTCCGGGAGGGCTGATGTTGATGATGAGCTTCATGGGCGCAAGAGTGTTGCAAGGTTTTCGCCGGCCCTTCCTCCGCGCCACTACTCGCTAGCACTTTTCGCACTCCCATGCGCCGGACGCGCCAGGCTCATCCTGATTCTCAGGTAGCCTCAGTGGCGGCCATACTTGAGTCCAGCTGCAGGCCTTAGAAAGGGAAGCGTGTCAGCAGTTGTAGGGGAGGGGGGAGGGGGGGTGGCTATTCTGTACCATGCCATACCTTCAACCCTATGATTACAATTCTCGATTTGACTGCCGACTGGCAGCGCTTTCTGCCGGATAAGGAACGATCCAAGACTCCAAGGAAACAACTGCTGCCTGGAACTGGAGCATCGGGACAGTTAGCAGAACCCTTGCCAATTTTGGGTAATAATACCACCAGTCAACCCAGTAGGAGATGATTCCTATACTCCCCCCTACATCTCACCAACTATATCACCACTACTTCCCCATTACCAAGACCAGTATAGGAATAACCGATTACCTCATCCATATATGAGGATTAGTCCTATGCTCCCCCCTACACCCAACCCAATACATCACCACTACTTCCCCATTACCAAGACCAGTATAGGAATAACCGATGACCCCATCCATACTCCCTAAGGTGGTATTATCAGCCCAAAGTGGGCAAGGGTTCTCTCATAAATTTTGCTAGGTTTAGTTTCAAAGGTTATAATCTTGATATACTCATAATGCAATGCCTCTTATACAGTAAGTTTATATTATACTTATGAACGCATTATCCGATATAGTTTAGAGAACGAATTGTTTTCGCTGGTTTGCACTGGTTGCTTACTGCTGATATCCTTTACCTCATCGTTCACAGGAATTTCAATTATGACCTCATTATCCTGCTTGCTGAATATCAGAAAATAATTCTCAAGAAGTTCATCATTAAGCAATAATTGTCAAACACAGTAACTATTTCTGACGGCTTGTCGTCTGGCTCTTTCCTCACGAAGCATGTTGGCGTCCTTCACGCCAAGCTCTTGGTACATGATGGGCTTCCAGCCTTCCACGTCGACCGTGAATTCCCACACCCCACGCACACCGCGCAAGGCCTCTTGCACAGCTACTGTCTTCCCGGATTTGTAGCGGCCACTCACGATGGTCGCGTCGGACTTCTGCCTCCAGCTCTGCAGCCTGTGTTTGATGATGTCATCTACAACCTTGCGTCCGACCACCTCGTTTGGAGACATGGCAGGCTCATAGCGCGCCATGAACGTCTCTACTGCCAATCGCTTCATGCGAAAGTCCGAGGAGGCATACGACACCGCAAAGCCTGCAGCAGACACCACAAAGCCTGCAAGAGCCAGGGACAAGTCTCGTATGTCGCGAAGGTCAACTGTCTTGCTGGGCTGAGCATGCATTGCCCATTGTATCACAGCTCGAAGCTGCGGCAACGCTTTCAGTTGGGTCGGTGGCGCGCTGAGCCGCCTCCCGCAACTCACTGGCATTGCCTTGCTCGCCACTGTTTTGACAAGAACTTTGAACAAGCAGCTCTAAGAATCATGATTCAATGCCCCAGCCTGTGGCAACAGGATGAAGTCTGCCGGCGCCAAGCAGAAACAAGCTGCTGCACACAAATCGCGCAAAACAATGCCAAACTTCCTTTGTGGTGTCGCATGGCCACGCTGCAGGGCAGGAGATGCACAAAAACATCAGAAGTTCTCCGTGCGTTGGGATTAGAAGATAATACCCCAACTTCTTAAACGTGGCAACCCCCTTGGAAAGAGGTGAATGTCAGCAAAGCCTGTGTCCAACACTTTCTGAAAACATCATGCGACAAAGACATTCCAACTGCGTTCGCCCACAAGCCCTATCAGCCCCGGCATTTTGGAACGAACAACCAACTACCATACGATGCCCCATAAAATGAATAAACCTAACCATGCCCATCACCTGAGAAATAGGATGAGATAGAGTATTTTATGGACAATGAGCTACTAGTTGTGATTATTGGGCTATATGTTCACGGTGATGTAATACCCCAAACTGGGCAAGGCCTATCCTAACCTACTACTCGCCTTCTACCATTGCCCCCTTCGTCCCCGCCCCGAGGCGGGTCGCGCAACTCTACAACTAAGAACAGACAACATCCGATCTGCGTATATAAGCGGAGACATGGTCACAAAATATCATAGATCTATGATACGTGTAATTCTGCCTGTAGCCCCGCGGGGTCCAGCTGAGCCTCTGGCAAGAAGACCTCCTCCATCTTCCTGCGTGCTCGGGAGCGGCTTTTCCTGCGCAATGCTGCCACCACAACGTTCCTTCCTGACTATACTGAACTTGGAACACTAGCATAAACTATATGATCTTAGCTGTTTCTTAGGACTTATAGTACCCAAAAACCTAAGTTCAGACTGGTTGGGGGGCCGGGCCGCCTCGGAACCGTCACCAGGAGACTTGAGCCTGCCAACTGCTTCCGGAGATGCACTGCGACTTGCTGGCGAGCCGAGGGCGCCTTGCCTTTCTTTGCTTTGTCTTTGTCTTTGTCTGGGGCCTGAACAGCAGGTGCGTACAAGACGACGACAGTCATCACAGTAATCATCACAGTGTTGGCAAGGCTGGGCCTCACCGTGCTCGACCGCATTCTCGGCTTGCTCTCCTGCCGCCTCCTCCTTGAGGACCTTGTTGGCGTCCTCCAGAGCTGCTGCCTCAGCGAAGGCAACATCCCTAACACACCCCAAGTGCCCCTAGGCCCTAAAGTAAACCTGCAAATACTAATACTTACGACCACACGCCACTGCAAGCCTGCCCTAAACACGACAACTCCGACCTTCCAAAACTGCTTCAAATTGTGCAGTGGATCGAGCACAAAAAGCTTGGGGCATAGTGCTCAGCTTCTGGCTTCGTCTTTTTCAGGCTTCCTCCCCTCGTCAGCCAAGACCTCGAGAGCGTTTCGGGGCTTCGGGGTTTGAAGAGGGCGGCTCTGGGAGGGGGCGCCTTGCTGAATCCGTCCTGGCAGCAAGGTTCATTCCCGTCCGGAAGGCAATCGGAGTTTAGGGTTCAGGGTTTAGGGGGGGTTTAGGGTTCAGGGCTTTAGGGTGTACAACCCCCCCTCCCTGCCGCGGGTCCTTCTTAGCCTGGACATTGTCCCGTGCTTCAAGGGTCTTCTTCTTTTGCTCTCTGTACTCACCTCTGCAGGTTCGCAACGCCAGCTCTTTCAAAAAAGAATCGAACTTACTTGCAGCCTAGCCGCTAACAGCATCCTGAACTCCTTTGAGCGCCTCGCATGGCTTCCGTGAGAAGAGCGGACAAAGCCCAGTGGTCCCGTCTCGCCCGGCCTCACCCTCGCGCATGGCATCCTCCCTTGCTTGTTCGACTGCTTCCTGTCTAGACAGTACGTGGTCGGCCAGAGATGGTCAGCTGATTGTGGGGTGAGGGATACGGGTGCAGACGGGGGGCTTCATCAGAGCAGCCTTGCAAAGAAACGGCCTTGGATCCACGAGAGGCTGGCTGATCTGCTCACACTGCAGCTGTTTTTTGGAATGCAAGAGGCCCACGATTTGCACTGCTACGTCTGCGTTTTTTGAAGATAACTTCATGTAAACTCCTGTAGCAGCAGCCCAGCTGAAGGTTCACTATGCTGCCAAGACGCCAGCAAGCTAACAATCAGACAGAAGGCAGCAGCACCGAGCTTGCGAGGATCCTCGGGGCCCACACAGGAGCTGAGTTAGGGTTCAGGGATATACGTAGATACATATGTAGATAGAGAATAGAGGGAGTTGAGGATTGGGTATGCATATATGTAGATACAGTAGATGCATATAGAGAGAGGGATAAGGCTCAGGGCTCCAACTGCTTTTGAATGTTGAAGCGTGGCTTGGTTGCTTTGAAGTGGTCTTCCTAAATCCTATATAAAGCCCTCAGCACGGCCTTTTAAATTAAGCAGGGGGGAGGTTAAAGGGGCGGGGGGGCCCTCAAGTGGCGAAGATTCGGCCCCAGAAATGGAGCGCGCATCCTTGAAATTTGCAACCTCTTGGGCGCAGCTTCAGCCAAGTCTCCATACACTTCTGCCGTCTTGCCCAGGAATCGGAAGTCCCTCTCAAGTCTCAGCACTACCTGGCGGTGTGTGCTTCTAGGGGTTTAGGCTTTACAAGGTCTAGGGTTTGGGGCTTTGCAAACCTGGCTGCACTGAACTCGGGCCTCCATAAGACCTGAAGGCCATAGGTCTCCAGGGATGAAGCTGACGTAGAACAGAACTTGAGCCGCGAGGTCGGACGATAGGCGCATGGACGGTCCATATCGGAACGTGCCAGTCAATGATTGATAGTAGGACTCTCACAGGGGTATTGCAATATCAAGTCAATCGACAGGTACATGTGTATATACATAATAACATGTATGTATGGTTATATATATATATGCATATCTATGTATTTATGGATTTATTATCTTCATATGCGAAGCCTATAGGAAGGAATATATCAGGATCCACTCCAGTTGGCTTGGATTGCAAAGTGCAAGTCAGCATGCTGTCCCGTTCATCTGGATCACCACCAGGACTGGCAAGCTGCCTTGTTCAGGTGTAGGATTTAGGGTTTAGGGATAATACTAACAATAGAAAAAGAACAATACTGGCAGTAGTCGCGATAAAGGCACGTCAGGCGAAAAGCGAGGCACTCTGTCGAATGTGAGCCTTGTAGTCCTACAGTACACCTCAAACCCTACAATGCCCTGTTTGGGGTACCCTACATTCATAGTAAGGCTCCGACTACAACAGGACCCCCCCCCCCCCCATCCCCTTAAAACAAAAAAAAAAAAAGGGCACACACATAGGATTAAGAAAGCCTCATTCACTGGCTCTTCTTGCAGCCGGGCTTCCCCGACATCCGGGAAACCTGTCACTTGAGCTTTAGACTATGCTATGAAAGCTTCTTTTAAGGTTGAGATCACCTGATACTTGATACGGGTTTAGGGTTTAGGGTTTAGGGTTTAGGGTTAGGGTTTAGGGTTTAGGGTGAACACGAGCAACTCAAGTTTCTACCCTTTAGGCTTGCCAGTTTCCTTGAAAGCACAAGCACGATCGTCTTGAACAAATGTGAAACACGCACCCTGCGCTCGTACACGTCGGCACGTGGCCACACAAAGTCTCACTCTCTCCTGTGGGGGTCCAACTAGATCTGTGGTACAAAGACCTTTGACCTCATGTTTGAGTATATTTGGGGCTTCAGGAAAACAGCTCGACCGCATGTTTTCGGGCCGTTGTCTCCTTCACCTTGCACAGGGGGGCCCGTACCCTTTCACTATGTCTACCCCAGACAAGTCTATCAAGCAATCGCAACAGTGCCATGAACGGTGATGTTTCTTACGAGCCTGCGTCTTCTGACTATTCAGGCGTCTTTCCAGCTTCAAGCATACATTGCTCTGAAGAGTAGCAAGTCCGTCCTTGCTGGCTCTCTCTATTTTGCGAGGTTCTCCCTGAAACTGACAGTCCTTTAATGGGGATTATACTAGGGGGGGGGGTACTATAATCCCCCTATGTTACAAGGGGGAGCATCCCAATCTCTATTCATCAACCTCACTATGCCTAAACCCCTAAACCCTAAACCCTAAACCCTAAACCCTAAACCCTAAACCCTAAACCCTAAACCCTAAACCCTAAACCCTAAACCCTAAAACCACCCCAAGGCATCACACCTCCTTCCGGAGGTCTTCGACCTCACAGTCTCTGGCATGGCACTGAGGTTAGATCACACGAAGGGAGACATGACAACTCTACCCCCCTCCTTAGAACCTCAAAAAAGATGATATTTCAATATTCCCCAGGGTTTTATATGGTTAAAACCAAAAATTAGTCCTAAGGGGGCTATAGACTACCGAGGCTCTTCCATGAGAGAGAGGTTCATGCACAACTTCTCTGAGAGGAAGGCCTGTGCCTGCAACTCGGTCTTGTGTCGCTCCGCCTCCGACAGCCTTCAGACTTCGGCGCCCCCCCTCAACACTAAACCGGTTTAGGGTTTAGGGTTTAGGGTTTAGGGTTTAGGGTTTAGGGTTTAGGGTTTAGGGTAAACCCCAAGAAGTTCAACTTCGCTGCTTTGCCAAGGACGGCGCGCATGGCGGAGTCGAGCGACCTGCCATTAATCGCTCTCAGCTCTTCTGGGGATCCTCCTGAGCACATGACCTCCTTTTTACAGGGTCTATAGCGCTGAAAAGGGGAATCCAAGAGCTTACAGGGTTTACTGTAGGGCTTCGTGGAGTTTACGCCTTTTGGGGCCTTAACAGGTTTATCAGAATTAGGGTTTCTAGGACTCATAAGGATTCACGCACAAGGGTTTTGTAGTGTTTAGGGCTTGTCAGGTTTATCGGGCCTTGCTCCAGGCTTCTGAGATTTGCAGGGCTTAGGGTTGTGGATTCCTTCCTCAACCCTAAACCCTAAACCCTAAACCCTAAACCCTAAACCCTAAACCCTAAACACTAAACCCGAAGCCTCGGCTTCCAGATCTTGGGCTCCATAGCCTCCAGAAGGCAAGGCTTTGGCTGCCTCCCGCAGGCACGGGAGTTTTTGAAGGTAGGGTTTAGGGTTTAGGGTTTCGGGTTTCGGGTTTCGGGTTTAGGGTTTAGGGTTTCAAACCCTTATGGTTTAGGGTTTAGGGTTTAGGGTTTCGGGTTTAGGGTTTCGGGTTTAGGGTTTAGGGTTTAGGAATGCCTCTCTACCCTGATCCCTAAACCCTGAACCCTGCACCTCACGGGGGTTTTGGGGCGTCGGGGTCTATAGGACATCCTCACAGACCGGCCTTGCCCATGGCAGGGAATCTGGCATGGCTATGTCTGCGACATGGGGTTTGAGGTTTAGGGTTTAGGGTTTGGGGTTTAGGGTTCAGCGTCTAGGGTTACAGGATGTTGCAACATGGCTATGCTCGTTCTACATCGATGTCTGTAAGCTCTTAGTTCTATTCGATATTTTTTGTCACGTTGACCTGCAGGGCCTAGGACGTTCTTTTCTCTTAAGGGGCCAGCGCGCCCAAGTGCAAGCGGGGGAAGAGCTGATGCCCTGCAGCAGTCGAGGTGTACCCCTGCTAACAGCCTCTCCGCCATTGTCAGACAACGTTTGGCGAACCCTAAACCCTAAACCCTAAACCCTAAACCCTAAACCCTAAACCCTAAACCCTAAACCCGAAACCCTAAACCCTAAACCCTAAACCCTAAACCCCGCTGTTTTGCTCTGGAAATGAGTACGCCAAGCACTGTACAATGATGCAAGCCACTCAAGGCCGCAGGAGCGATTCCGAGGTGAAGGCTGTGCCCTAAACCCTAAACCCTAAACCCTAAACCCTAAACCCTAAACCCTAAACCCTAAACCCTAAACCCTAAACCCTAAACCCTAAAAGCTTTAAACCCTAAATCCTAAGCCCCCAAACCCTTTAAACTTTAAACCCTAAACCCTAAATCCTAAACCCTAACCTTTTGCATGTCGGGGGCTCCCGGTTCCCTACTGGTTCTCACTTTGCTGGTTCACACTTTGCAGCTTCAATCGCAGCGTCGAGCCTCAACACAACATGCCAGGGCTTCGGGTTCTGGGTTTAAAGCTTACAGTTGAGGGTCTTAAGGGGGGCGTGGCAAAACGTGGCGGTATTGCGAGATCTCCAAGATTGAAAGGTTCATGTGAGCACAGGTCATGCAGCAGCACCATCTGAATGGCGGCTTGCAGCAAAACTCCGAACCCCACATGTCCCAAATCCTGGTGATAACATCCAAAATCCTCAACCCTGTACATCCATAACTCCTTGACCCCTAAAACCCCTTAGTCCGCCACCTCTCTACCTTAAAACCCGCAAACTAGACGCGAAGCCCTCTACCTTCTAACCGGCTTCCTGCAAAACATTCAGTCCAGTGGCGCGCGGGCGAGGGGGTCGCTACCCTTGGGCATCTGCTTTACTGGCCCAGGCCTGCGCAGAGAAGGTTTAAGTCAGAGATACATAGATAGATAGATAGATAGATAGATAGATAGATAGACATATATATATATACACAATTAAAAAACATTCGGGACTTTGCTTGCAGGCATTGTTGGGCTTGCGGGGTTCACTCTAGGGCCTAGAGTGTCTTACTCGAGAGGATGGGCAGGGAAAGGAGGTGAAGAATTACCGACGCAAGCATTCAGATCTGCTTACCAAACGCAAGCGGCTCCTCAACGATCACTGCATTCGGGCTCTGCTGAGATTCGTGGTACACTGGGGGGGCCCATGGCTTGGGAACCGTAAAGCCCAGTGTCGGTGAAGACACGTGGAAACCTCGAGGCTCCGACGTTTCTGAGGCAGCTTCAGGTGGAGCGGCGGCATTGGGATCGGCGTCGGCAGCCTAAGGGTTGAGGTCTGAGGGTATAGGGTTTAGGGGTTAGGGGCTGAGGATGTTCTAGGGTTTTAGAGGGTTAGGATGATTTAGGTGTTAAGGGCTTCTTTCGCGCTCTTGCTGCGGGTGCTTCATCTCGCAGCTTGTTTTTCCTGATCTTCCTGATCCTGTTTTTGTTGGTGCACTTAGCTCTGTTCTTTCGTGAAGTAGGGTTCATGTTTAGCATACACGGGGTGTCCTACTTGAGGATACTGGCAACAGAAGACCGCAAGACTCCGCATGCTAATGGCCCCCTGGACCCTATAAACTCCAAGATACCCTACGCTCCTGCAGGGTTAAGGGTCTAACCCTAAACCCTAAACCCTAAACCTTCAGCCCCTCAGCTCCGCGCCTTTCCCTTTCGAAGGCGCTTGGCCTTTGGGGCGGCCATGGCACCCGCTGTGCCATCTTGGCCCTGCGCGGAGTGGGATCGTGATTAGGGTGGCCGATGGGGAGGAGGAGTTTTTGCTTGACTAGGGTGGCTTGAGGCTCTAGGGCTTTGGGGGTTAAGGGTTGATGGCTTAGGGCCATGTCTTTGCTTTCTTAAGCTTGGGGGTTGAATGCTTTTGTTTGGGTCCAGAAGTTTGCTGTTTTTTTAACCAGTAGGTGTAAAGGATTGTGCCAGGTTCAGGTTCCTCCAACATCGCAATGACAACTGACGGCATGCACAGCAATATGTCACGCTGGGCAGTCCTGGGTGTCCTGCTTCGGGGCACGCTTGGCCCTGCACCCAGCCAGCAAACAGGAAATAATTCCCCAAAAACAGCTGGCTCATCACGTGTTTTTTTGGCGCTGATGCAGGGGTGAATATGGCACTTGACAGGCAGAGAGAGACTCACGGTGAGAGATGTGAGGGCAGCCTTGGCTTGCGCGTAGGCGCGTCGCCGATGGCCAGCGGGTTTTGGGTACCTGCTTCTCCAGCCTGCAACCATGGGTGACAGGCGACACGACGTGGTGGCACCATGCGCGCCCATGCGCAGCGGCATCATGTGGCGTCGCTTGCTGCAAAGGCAGTCCTCAACGCCCTGTTTCGAGGAGCGCTTGGCCCTGCACCGCAGTGAACAACCCGGAGCTGGAGTCGCGCTGTATACTTTCCAGTCACTAATAGCACCCCACTCTCATGCGCCAACAAGGACTTCTGAGGTGGGGATGTAAAGGCCCTGAGGCAGCCTTGTCTTACGCGCCGGCGCGTCTTCGATGGCCTTGATGGGCTCCTTCCCACCAGCTTCCCTTTTAAGTCATGGATCTTTGACACATTGCCATGGTACCAGATGATGGGCCCTTGGAGTACCCTAACACAAAAAGGGGCCCTAATTTAGGGAACCTCACACATGCTAGCAGTCCCAACTCGTCACGGGCGGACGGGTATGAAGCGCAAAGAAAATCCTAAAGTCCTATACGTGACTAAGACTAAGACAATCCAGGCAATCGAGGGAGCTGTTAATTGAGTTCACTGACTCGGAACAATTTAAGTGGAACTGAGGAAGAGAGAATCCACCACTGACAAGTTACCGCATTCATGGGCACATGAGCCAAACCTCAGTGACTCAGAGCTCAAAGCTATAGACCGCCCTGACTCTTTCTCTCGACACATTCCCCAAACACCGCGCAGCAGCCGGTACCCTTGCACCCTAAACCCCTGAGTCGTCAAGAGCCTTCCCCTTGCGTTGCGAAGGGGTATCGAGAGTACCTGAAGCCCTTCGCTGGGTATATGCTTCGACCATCCCCCAAACTTGGGCAATACGGAAAGTGCTCTCTCGCCTTTCTCAAAGTAGCGGCTGCCCCTGGTACAACTAACTAAGCAACTATCTAGAATCCTGAAGCAAGGGACCTCCCAAAAAGGCACCCCCTGAAAAGCCCCATAGACCCTAAACTCCTAGAGACTGGCACCCGGCCGAAGAGAACCAGCAAACTCATCGGGAAAAACATCCTCCGGCTCGGGTGCTTTGGAGCTCAAGTACCGCGTCGGCCTGGCTGCCAAGCAAGAGGCTTTAGAGGCTCCTCAAGGACTTTATACGTAGCCTTTACTGTAGTGGCTTCAGGAGTTTGGGGTTCGGGGTTGTTGTTAGGGTTTCCCTGGTATAGGGTACACTTCTAGGATCATGAGCTGTGCAGCCCCGGACCCACAAAACCCCAGCTGGGACGGATCTTGGTCGCACGCGGACCAACTCCGCGCACTTTGCGGAAAGTGGCAATCGTCGAGCCAACCTAAGCACCACAGAGCAGCAGAGGAGCAGAGCAAAGCAGCTGACAGTTGAACCAAACGATTGGCAAGGGCTTAACGAGTCGGGTTTTTATGGCTTTGGGGATACTGAGGGATTAGGGACCCTACACCCAGAGCCACAAGCAACCACAAGCTCTTCATTCATTCAAGTGGCGGTCGAGTGCCACACCTTGGGAGCCGCTTTTGCGCCCGTAGGAGGCGCAACGCTCAGTCTTCTTGCTGCCCGTAACCCTAAACCCTAAACCCTAAACCCTAAACCCTAAACCCTAAACCCTAAACCCTAAACCCTAAACCCTAAACCCTAAACCCTAAACCCTAAACCCTAAACCCTAAACACGCTTGTTGTGCAACTGGCTGCAGCCACAAGTGACCGGCTTCCGTCGTCCGTCTCGGATGTTCCTGCGGCGGGCTGTAACGATATGCCTGTCCAAAACCCGACCTTCCCGCAGCCCACAACCCGAAACCCTAACCTCATCCAACTGGCAAGCAAGACATAGCAAGACCTAGTTGCACATTGTGAAGGCCCAGAAAACAGTCCTGTTCAGCTTCGCTTCTCGAAGCTCTTCTAGTTCCTCCGGGTTTTGCTCGATCCAATCGATCACCTCACCTCGGCTGATTCAGCTTCATGATCACGAGAAGCGATCTCGCAAGTCACAACAAGCTGTGACACATCAGCAGCAGTAAACCCTAAACCCTAAACCCTAAACCCTAAACCCAAACCCTAAACCCTAAACCCTAAACCCTAAACCCTAAACCCTAAACAACCCTAAACATCCCTAAACCCTAAACCCCAAACCCCAGGCCCTAAGCAGGCCGTTGGAAAGACTGGTAAGACTGTGGCGCAGGGTGCCCTGGCCGCCCAGTGCATCCAATGCCTGCGGAGCTGATCTTGTACGCTAAGCATCGCTTGTCATGATGCCTGGGGCTGCTGCCCGGTCAACGACAATCTTTGTACCTTTAGTGACATGACAGCGTGTCTGATCCGATTGAAATATCAGACTCCGTAGGTTGCATGCTGCAGCGACTCTGACTGTCGTCTTTCTGCTGCCGCTGTGCGTCTGCCCTCCACTGGTCCCAAGGGTCCACGGTGACCGCCTGCCTCCTCAAAACGTCATGTGCAAGTTTGCCACCACACAGAGTCCCAATCTTACTTTCTTTGGCCACGTGTCACTGGTTGCCTGCTCCCGCTGATCGATGAGCTGGACCAGGTCCTTTGTAGCAGGTATCGAAATGCTGGGGAGTGGGAGATGTGCGATGATGTCTGTGCATGCATGTGCACACATGCTCTGGCCTCCAGCTGGGCCCATTCCTGACCTGTCACAGTCGTGCCAGAGGCAGCTTGTAGTCTTCAGCAAAGTCGACGACTCAAGGCTGGACTCAATTGCATAAACGGCGTTGCGGCAAACAGGGTTTTGTGCGGTATGTAGGGGTATGTAGGGAGGGTATGCAGGGTACAAGGGTCTTGTGAGCCAGCCTCTTATTCTCTTGCTCTCGCGCGAGACCTTTTTTGTTTCTCAGTCTCGAGTCTTGAGAGGCTCGAAAGCATCGCCGTGGGTTCGCTTTCCCGACGCACCTGGGTGGGTTTGCGGCACTTCGCTGTGAGGAGTAGTTCCACAGAGTGTGTGCTGTGGATGAAACCTTATAGCCCCAGAAAGAAGGATGAAACCTCACAGCCCCAGAAAGAGAGCCTACATTTCGAAGAAGACCACCCCTCAGAAAAAAAGAGAGCAAAATGGACATCGAAAGCCCAAAACCAATGTGTGCAACGGAACTCTGTGCATCAATGGCGCGCTCTTGCCCATTGCTTTGGAGCCACGCCTGGCAGAGCACTCCAAACTCACCAGTTCCTGTTGGGAAGATGCGGGTGTTCGATTCGACAAGCAGCCCCTGATTTACTTCTAGCAGCTGATTACCAAGACTTATATCCTTATGCTCTTATATCACTTATGTCCTTGCAGTACCCTTATGCCCACAAGCCCCCAGGTCCCTAGGGTTATTGAGGCGGCTTGGGGCAGCGTTGGCAAGTGAGCCTTGACACCGTCAAGGCCCTTCTGCTTCAGAGCATCTGGCGCTCGTGAGTGCTCAAAGGATGCAGCCTTGGTACAATGTGTTCTTTGCAAGGGTGGAATGTACATGGATCTGCGAAGCAACGCTACAAGACCTCGACTGACCACGCCAAGCAGCAGCACATGAGGCCAACTCCTCATCTGACATGCTCAGCCTCGCAGCAAGTTCACAAGGCTCCCTACTCGGTGCATCGGGCGGTTCAGGCCGTAGACTTGAGGCCAAGCAACTCCTGCCGACAGCGCTCGTACTCTCCCAGCAAGCAGCACCCGAACAGCAACGGATCATCGGAGTTGATGGTGCAGGGCCTGATTGACAGACAATCCTCAAGCATGAGGATTGCGAGGATCGTGAGGACTGCAGTTGTGTGTATATATATATACATATATATATATATATATATAGATGTAGCATGTATGTATATATATACATATATATATATGCATCAAACTCCAGAATGTTTCACCACCTTCGCGAAAATTCAGAAACCCAGCTGGCTCGGCTGGGGCCCTGGCACACCCGCCTCAAGAAACTGCTTGAGGGGCGACTGCAGACCTTGTCCCGGGACTGTGCCGAGCAGCTGGTTGCTGGTCGGGCAGATATCGAGACCTTGGGTTCTTCCATGTAGGGAACAGGCATCTCCCGATGTCACTTCCATAAGGGAGCGCAGGTGGGTGTAAGGGCCCATATTCCCCGGCCTTCACAAGCCCAAGTAAGCCCTTAAGTAGCACAAGTCAAGGAACATGGGCCCCTTACACCCTTCCTGGCTCCTTATGACATTTGCTCGGCTCCAAACACACTTTCAGGTCGGCTAGGTGGGCAATGAGTCCGTTGTCTCCCGCTGCGAGAACTCCGTGTGCTATGCGGGGGGCGCCCAACGTGTCCACGCAGAACCGAACCTCCAGCAACAAAAGGAAACTTCGTGCAGATTCTGCTTCTGATGTCGTGGTTATCCTCGTCATTTCTTGCTATGATTAGTAGTGGTGGTACTGGTGGTTCCAGCGGTAGAACTGGTAGTGGCCGCCGTTGCCGTCGTCCTAGTAGCCAGTAGTACTTGAGCTGGTTGCTGGTGTTGTTGCTGCTGTGTTCCAGTAGCATTCGTCGAAGTTGTATCAGTAGTAGCAGCACAGAGCCGAGTGACACTTTCAGCTCCTGCTCCAGGCTCCTCTGAGGGAGGATACTCGCCAGCATGCGGCAAGGGAACCACGCCCTCAACGCAGGCGGTTTTGAAGGCCTCCTTCCACGGCTGTGGTGGATGGCCAGCCTAGGGAGAAGATCCCCCAAGCTTTCAGATGCAGCAAACAGCGGACCGGAATCAGAAATGTGACGACGAAAACCATGTCCTGCCCACCAGGCCTCTGGACCGTGCAGCCCGAAGCCAACTATTCCTTGTCGGCCCTTGATCTTGGCACTACCCTCCACCAGCTTCTTGACCTGGTCGAAATCATGCTCAAGAGACACTGTGCCCATGCGTCGCCAGGACAAGAGCTTCGACTACCATATTCCAAGGCAATCTCGGCCGCCCAGCGCCTAGCATGTTTCCTTCCACGTGGCCGAGGCACCGTTGCAGCAAGCTTGTCAGCTCTAGCGATGGGCATGTGCCTCTCGGCTGCGACGATGAAGCCTTGGCTGCGACATCTGGCTACGAACACAGGGCACAGAGTACACTACTCCATGACATGCCTGACGGTGTCGACGGGGAGCCCATGGCAACCCCGGTCAACTCCTCTGCTTCTTCCGCCGCAGAGAAGAGCATCCGCAAAGTCGCCTCAAAACCACCTGAACTTGGTGAGTTCGACTCAAAGCCCCAGACCTTGAACCCAAAGCTGATTCCCTGAAGGCCCCACCTAGCCGGTCAGCGTAGAGCTCCAGCGAGAGTGCGGGCTCTATCCACGTGGCACCTCAAGCTGCAGACACTTCTGTGCGTCGGGCTCCCGCACTGACGGACACACTTCAGAGGGCCACGGCATGGGGGCCTGCTTTTTGAGAAATTGAACCAGCATTTTTTTCTATATACTACTTGTTCATATTTGGTTCCCCATGACGTTGCATACTCAAACACATGTGCAACCACTGACATATCTGTCTCTCCATCTACCTTTGTATCTGTCTGCACGTGTGTTGTACTTATATTCTATTGGTAATATTCATGCTGATATCAAGTTTGCATTTGCTTGATTATAATCATTTACATACATACACATATTCAAGTGCATGTAATTTGCATGTCCATGCGCATGCTTACACATATTCTGCATATAACATAACCCAATATATATATATATGCATATATATATATATGTATACTATACTTGCACATGTACGTCAGGCATTATTTGTCCATTGATTGATTTGGCTTTTGCCCGTGCAAGCGAGACGGCTGCCTGACTGCCTGCGTGCAGAGCACCCGACTCGGCGGAATCCTCGGCGACTTCGCGTACCAGGCGCCGCAGGTCCTCCTCTTTCCGCAGGCACTCGCAGACTGCAATGTAGCAGCGCGCAAACCTAGGCGAAAGGGAGGAACCTGAATGGGAACCTACACTTCTCATGAGAACATCGCAAAATTTTATGCAGCAACTGCACGAATCTGCGTCAGATTTCTAGCGCGCGTTCGCGCCAGCAGCAGGCTGCTGTGTGTCGGCCGAGAAGCGGGTCAAAGTCCGGAAAGGATTTTCCACGCCTCAGGAAACACTATAGTCTATACTTTTAAATGGGAGCACTGATAGTCACGACAGTCACGACACACGACGAAATTTCATGCGCATGAGCCACGTATCTGGAGGACGCTCTATGTCGTACTTCTCGCAGAGTTCTGTTAACGTCTCCGGACCTGATGACACACTAAAGATAGAGGAGAGATACTCGCACACATAGAACGTGAAGCATCGGGGTACATTACAAGCCAGGCATCAACATTGCACAACCCAAGGCTCCTGCGCATTGCACCCTCCAAATGCAGGTGCAATTCCTCAGGTTGTAGCTGTGTTTGCGTTAGCTGCAAGCCGGCTTGCACTTGTCACATGGGCAGTTCTGAAAGTTAGGCCCTGTGGGCATCACTTAGTGAACTACTACGGCACGCTATCATAAGTACCCCAAACGAAACCTAATCTAGATGACTGCCCAACTTTCTTCACTGACGGCGTAACAAAGGCTCCTCCACTCGACGGTCTCCCCTATTCATTGAAACATTTCTCTCTTTTCCTCTCTGCTCCTCTCCGACTACCCTCTCTTCGAAAAGGCATCGATGCAGTATTCATCGATACAGGAACATGGGTTTGTTGGCACCTCGGGCCGTCTGACAGCAAGAATGCCATTCAGCACCCAAACAGGAATATCGACAGCAAGATGCTGATGATTTTTCACGGCGTGCAAAACACCGGGCATATCGGCATCGGCGGGTAACCATGAACATCAGAAGCTTCGGTGCAGCAAAGGAGTATTACTAGTCACAAACGCCCAAACTCAAAATAGAAAGGACAGGTCTATGGAGATTTCAGCGATGGCAGATCCAGTCCGAGCGACGGCTTTGGGCAGACCGGCCAGTGAGCGCTCCAGAGTATCGCACATGCTGGGTGGAGAAGAGTTGAGTGTTTGCCGGGTTGCTGTTAGGGTTTGAGACAGATCCCTATCTTGGTGCAGTAACTGTGTTCCGTATCAGCAGCCCAGTTTAGGGTTTCGGCGTTTGGGGGTGCGGGGGTCGGCTCTCTGGTACTTGAGCCAAGCGCACCAACTAGCTTCCTGGACAGTGACCAGCGCTCTCTTTGCCCATGCCACTGTGGAATCATGACAAGTTGCGCGCCACCCCCGCCCTTTCCCGCCTGCCATTGCCTGAATGACGTCACTGGACTCCCCCGCTTTGGATTTGAACCTGCGCGGTCCCTGCTCTTCTCCCAACCCTAAACCCTAAACCCCAAACCTAAATCCTGACCCACGACAGCCGTGCCGAGCCTGTCAATACGAGTTCTGACTGCGTCCATGGCCATCTTCAGGACCTCTTGAAGCTCTTTGTTGGTTCGTAGGGGAAAGGGGGAATGAGGTACCCATGTAAATCCCTCAAAGGGTATTCTATGGGGCCCTAATGTCCCTCATTCCCTGCTAACCAACAGTAAGTTAAGCTGTAGTCGAGTGTAGGGTTAGGCATTGTTACAATTCTCAGATGCGCTCCCGTTGTCCTCAACCGTTCTTAGCAGGGAAGGTACCTTTCATCATATATCCCTCAACAACCCTTTAATAAGGGATGGATACCTACATGACTCCCTAATTTCCGTACTGAAAACCACCCCCAGACACTGAGACAAAGCCCTAATTGCCGACTAGTATCTCAAACCGTCAACTCTCGACCTTCAACTTTCACCCCTAAACCCTAACCCCCAAACCCTGAGCCCTAAACCCTAAACCCTAAACCCCAAACCCTAAACCCCAAACCCCAAACCCTAAACCCTAATCTCGCGCATGCGCTCGTGAAGTTCCCACCTCTCCCCCTACGCCGGACTCCCAGATGCCCTTCAGGCACTGGAAGACCTTGGCAGCAGAGAGTTTACTTAAAGGTTCACGGTACTTACTAAACAATTATAACTGTACTTATAAACCCTACTTATAATGCCGCTAAAAGGCCTTATATGGGTTATCCCAATTATAAGTAGGGTTATAAGCCCAGTTATAAGTGGTTAGTAAGTACCATGAACCAGGCTTTAGGGTTTGGAGCTTTAGGGCTTTGGGGTGTTAGGGTGCTAGGGGTTTAGGGTTTAGGGTTTGAGGGTTTTGGGGGTTTTAGGGTTTAGGGTTTGAAGGTTTTGGGGTTTTAGTGTCTTAGGGTTCGGGGCTTAGAGTTTAAGGGTTTTTAAGTTTCAGGGTTTGGGGTTTTAGGGGTTTGGGGTTCAGGGTTGTGGGGCTTTAGGGTTTTAGGGCTTAGGGCTTAAGGGTTTAAGGGTTTAAGGGTTGCTGGTTGAGGGTTTGGGGTTTTAGGGTTTGGGGTTTTAGGGTTTGGGCTTCAAGGCTTCGAGGTTTTGGGGTGTTGGGGATTTAGGGTTCCTATCAAGACCCGGAACCCTAAAATGCCTACAGGCACCATCACGACTACGCAAAGACCTCACAGACCCGATGTCGACCCTGAACTTAAACCCTTAAACCCTATTTGAACCTTTAAACGCTCAACCCTTCTCTCCCAAACCGGTAAACCCTACTTGTAGGGTTCTTGCAAGGACCCTTAAACCCTAAACCCTTCACTCCTCAACCCGTCAGCCTAACCTTACACCCTAAACTGGCTGGTTCTTGGTAGAGACATAGGGCCCTATTTCCCTCATTCCCTACTAAGAACCAGGGAAACCTCAGGTTCTTGCAGACAGACAAAGAGGATAAGGAGCCGAGGGCCCGTCAACGCGGCGCAATCTCCGCTGATGTTCGAGCGCCAAAGTCTCCTTCCGCCCAGCTGGAGTCGGATTCGGGGTTTAGGGTTTAGGATTAGGTTCCGGATTTCGGGTTCAGGGTTTTGGGCTTAGGACTATGACCCCTAACCCTAAGCCTCAAACTACCCCAATCCCTAAACCCCAAGACGGTTGTAACTCAGGTCCTTGGCGTTGTCGGTCCTGGGGCGACTGGGTGGCTTTTCGGCGATTCATCGCCGGGAATCATTGAGGGTGTTAGGGTTTCGGGCCTGTACCATAAGAGCCCCAACACTACCGGTGTCTTTGGTAGGTCAGGTTTTGTAACCACCCCCCGCCCCCCCCCCCCCGCCCCCCCTAAACCCTAAACCCGAAACCCTAAACCCTAAACCCTAAATCCTAAACCCTAAACCCCAAACCCCAAACCCTAAACCCTAAACCTTAAACTGTACAACTAGGTTCTTCAGGAAGGGGCCATGGGGATTTTTGGGCCCTGTGGCTTCCTAGGTTTTGGCCATAAACCGGCTTGGGGCCTAAGCTTTGGCTGCTCTCGGAGTTAGGCTTTATAGGGTTTATAAGGTTTATAAGGTTTATAGGGTTTTCCAGGGCTTTACAGGGTTTTACAGGGTTTTACAGGGTTTTACAGGGTTTTACAGGGATTTACAGGGTTTTGCAGGGATTTACAGGGTTTTACAGGGTTAATAAGGTTCAGGGTCTGAGCCGCCGGCATCAGACAGTTTGTTGCCAGCCCTAAGATTCTCCGCGGGCTGGAAAGATCCTGCACAGGCGACGCGGAAGTATGGAATGTGAAGTATTGTTCGTATTGTTCGGGTTATCGTTGTTGCCCTTGTTCTCTTGCTTAATATTACTAGTTAAACGTTGCGATTATCATTCTGAATAGGGACTGTGGGATGACTTCAGAGTTCTGGCAGGTTCCGGATCTAGACATTAGGGTCCCTGTGTGCCAAGTGTCCTTCACGGCAGCTAGGAGAGTGTCGCGAAGCTGGTAGACCTGACTCTTTACTGCACACTTCACCAGCTTTCGTTCTGAGAGAGCGGGAGGCCAAGCTCCGCGCGTCGCTGGAGGCCGCGACTGCTTCAAGGTCAGATACCTGTCCGGGCCCGTATCCATACACATTCCATGAACAGGGTCTGTTCATGTTTAGCCTGCTTCTTTGGCAGCTTCGTTGGTACCAAGATGTCCTTGCACTCTTCGGCCTTAGCCGTACTATGCACAATTCTGTACTTCGGCTGTGTCTGAGCACTTAGGCCACCGGCAAGCTGCTCCATGCGCTCAGACTCGGCCTCACTGGCGCTGCCTCACGTAGCCGAGGTGTGGTCCCAGGATCAGTGAGGGACAAGCGCACGCCTGGCACCCCATACTGCTTCATGTAGTCCTGTCATTTCAGGTGCTCTGAGAAGGCTGAGCATGAAGCATGGTCTCCAAAATGGCTGAGTTGGGCGAGATGAATTATTGAAGCACGTGTTTTCAGGCGTATGCCAGTCAGACATGCCGGAAGCGCTGCAAAGAACTCGTCGAAGAAGTCTTCGCGAATGAGCCAGCGCTTCAGCGCCACGTCGCGAAAATCCTTCGGTCAGGCGGCTATGGCAACAGGCAAGGCATGCAGGCGGTTCACCTCCTTCATGTGCACCCTGCGCAGGATGAAGTCACGGAGAAGCTCGCCATCTTTTCCATGGCCTCGCTGCTCGACATAGAGGGGCCTCGGTCGATGGGTGTGCCGCTTGTGGCCATGTAGGGCCGGTCACTGACTTCACCTCTTACCCTGCAGAAAATGGTGTCAACCTCATGGACTCGCCATGGTAAAAAATTGCAAACACAAAGCGACTGATCTTGGCGACTGCTACTGTGTTGACTTGTTGCGTGCACCTGGCTGGAGTTGGAGTGCCCTTACTGTGCACCAAGGAACACCAGGCTGTTCCTTGCGCCATGTCTTTGTGAAGCCTCCGCAATTGCTGACCAAGGGCTGCAAGCGGGCAGTTGAGATGGCTAGCCGTGGAAGGAAAATGGCAGGCTTTCTCCCCCTTCTGGCCGGGCGGGGAAGGGCGGGGGGGGGGGGGGGGGGGGATGGTGGCTCGACCCAAAGTCTGAACCCTCAAGCCCTAAACCTAAACCCCTAAAACCCTAAATACCCTAGAGCCCTAAAACCCTAAAGCCCTAAAACCCTGAAAGTTTTTGACCGGCATGTGGAGCTTCACAGCAGGGGGAGCCCCTCAAGCACATCGGCAGAGTCTGCATCAGAGCAATGTCACGGTACGACGGTTTAGGGTTTCGGGGGCTCTCTAAACGACGGTCCTTTTGAGTTCCCCCTAAAGAATATGCCTCAATGACTCAAAAAGTATCTTGATTGATAGAACTACCCACATGACCCAAATACAGGCTCCCGAGATTGTGCTCACTTAGGGCTTGTAGCTATGAGCTTAGAGTTTAGGGTTTAGTTGGGGCTTTCCATGGCTTTGCCGTAGAGAAGCTTGCATGCCAACCGACGGCAGCAATCGCATAAATGCCCAAGTCGTCCATGCCCCTACGCCCTAAGTTCAGAGCCCAGAGCACCTTCAACTGTTCTAAGATGTTTTCGGCTAGAAGCTCCAGCGCGCAGACGGCCAAGGTGCCCCTATATGTAATAAGTTATGGAGCCTTTGCCTTTGCCCTGCCGTATAGCGGCGCGGGCGGTGGACGATGTAGACTCCGGCAAGGCAGCAGCATCCAACAATTGGGTCCCTTGCTACACCCCCTAGTTGTAGAATTAGAGGGAATCGGGTTTAGGGCAGAGGGGTCACCAAAACCCTAAACCCTAAAAAACCCTAAACCCTAAGAAACCCAAACCCTAAAAACCCAAACCCTAAAAAACCCTAAACCCTATTCTGAGTTCTTGAGCACGACTTGGCCTTCTGCTGCGGAACGAGAGCCAGCTGTCTTTCAGCAGCCTCCAGAGAGAGATTGGCTTGGCAACACCCCAAATCATTCTTAGCAGATCATCCCTAACCCCACAAGACTTCTAAACCTAAACCCTAAACAAATTATGATGCTGAGGAATCCGACAGCCTCTTGTTGTGCTTCCGCTTCCGCAACGGCCAACTTTAAGTCAGAGTCTTTGCCGACTGGCTCAATCTCTTCCTTTTCCTTGCTGGGGCTGACCTTCCACATCTGAACAACAAGTGGGGGCTTACGAAAATAAGGGCCCCCAAATATAGACCCCCAAATAGTAGGATTCCCTTAAGACTAGGACCCCAATAAGGTACCCCCGAATCTCCAAAACGCCCGAGTAGTGCTGCTCAGGAAAGTCTGCAGGGACCTCTGCAGGCGTCTCCTGTGAGGATGCCTTCTCAGGCTCACAGGCGTGTGGCGGAGATGCACCATCTTGTGGCGGATCCCTTACCTCTGCCTCAGATTGTCGCAAAGCAACATGACAGTGCTTCCCAACGTGCTCGGCCCGATATAGGGACCACGCCATTTCGGTAGCCATAGCCGCACCTCGTCCGCCGCCAGTGTCAGGATAGAGCCATGAGAAGCGACATGTTGATGGAACGCTACCAGGCCACTACAGTGGGTTGTCGCGGTCTATCTCATCATTCGTACGACATGGAATAGGCAAGCAACACTTCACCGAGTGATGCTGCGTTGGTGCTGCATGCATGGATTTACAGCTGTGAGGCAGCAGCCCCTTGACAACTACTTTGCCACTGAAACCATGCAGGCTTGCCAGTGAGGCCACACTTCAGGCTGGTCAGGCGGATCGCGAACAAGGCTGAAGGAGGCATGGAGAATCTCGGCAATGGGGGGGGGGGGGAGCACAGGCACAGTGCGGCGCGACCAGTTTTTTCGTTCCGAATGCAACTCCCAGGATGGGCTGGACTTAGAACTGACCGTGTAGCTGGGAATTATGGGGATGTCATAAGGGCTTCGCAGCCCATCCTCTTCGAGACTTGCGTGACACAGCCGGCCGATGGCTCAGCGCAGGATCAAAGGAATTCCTGGGCCTCCCTCCGGCCTCATCACAGATCACAAGGCTTGGGGTCTTCAGGGTTGATGGGCTATGGGTTTGGGGGGGTTTAGGGTTCAGGTTTCATTTGTTGTTGGGGGGCGGGTGGGAGGGGGGGGGGGAGGGCATCCGAAAAAGAAGGATTCCCTTGTAAGTAAGCTTCAGAAAAGCAGGCCTCCGCATCCGAGCCTTCGCCTTGTGGGGGCGCAGCGACATCTTTGCACCTGAAGCCACATGAAGTAAACTGCCCAGAGCCACTCATGGCATCATAGCTGATCCTGTCAGGGGCCCCTGCTGCATGACCTGCGCCAAAGTCAAGTCAAAAAAGTCTTCAAGTTGAAGATCCTCGAACCAAAGGGAAGAAATCAGCAGTGGGCCTTGATCTGCATGGAGCAGAGATGTGAAGACCGGGGCGGGCAGGGCCCGCACAACCACCGTCGGTTCCCCAATCTGCCACGTAGTGACGTCATTGAGGATTGCTGAGAATCTGACATGCTGTGGTAGAAAGCTGCACCACGATTCATACATGCTGTAGTATGAAGCTGCACCACGATTCATTCCATGCGTTCCGCTGTTGCCATAAACCCTAATCCCTAAACCCTAAACCTTGTAAACCCTAAAGGCTAGCCTGGACAGTAGAATCCGAGGATCGAGCGGTGATGCATTTTCTCATTGGCTTGGAGCAGCAGATTTTCCTTAGGGGATTCTGGCATGCTAAGAGCGCCCACTCCTCTTAAGAACAGTGATCCCCAAGATACCCTAAACTCCCCACACATTCTAGGGGCCTGCCAAGACGTTCGCAAGCTTTCAGTCTCCGGCGTGATCTCCCTCTCGGAGTCATCCGGCAAGCCGCCATTTGGATCAAACTCCATGGCCTCCTCCTGAGAACAGCAATGGCATCCACAAAAAGAATTCTCGACCCCACCATCAGGGGCAAAAAGCCTCCCCACATGTGCAAGGAGCCTCTAGGCTCACCAGACATGACTGTAAAAAGTGCCACCAGTTGCCTATTGGCCCTCCAGGTAAATGTTGGTGATGGCCATTGCAATGATTGGATTGGGGCTGTAGCACAGTAAAGGACTGGCTGATGATGGTAGTGTGGTGGAGACGAGGTGGTCAGATATGGGGAGCTCTCAGCCTCAGCTGCCTACTCTACTGTAGGTTTAGGGTTTAGGGTTTAGGGTTTAGGGTTTAGGGTTTAGGGTTTAGGGTTTAGGGGGCTTGGCCCTTATCTGACATCCAGACGCAGCAGAATATGGGAAGGGGAAGCGTGCCTCTCGGACAGGCCATCCCCGCCAAGGCTCGAATTCTGGCAAGGGTTTAGGGTTTAGGGTTTAGGGTTTAGGGTTTAGGGTTTAGGGTTTAGGGTTTAGGGTTTAGGGTTTAGGGTGCTCGAATTCTGGCAAGGCAAGCATGTGATTTTTAGGGGCCTTCATAATGAGAACAGGGTTTTGGATAGTGTATTTTATAAAGGGGACCACAAGGGAATCCTATTCGTAATTCTAGGAGGAGCCTTAATAATTAGAACAGGGTTTTGGATAGTATATTTTATAAAAGGGACCACAGGGGAATCCTATTCGTAATTCTGCCGACCCCCTACATTAGGTGGGAGGCAGGAGGGGCATCAAATATGGCACCAGGGAAACAAGTCAGCATCGCTGGCGCCGCCCATCAGCTTCATGATCTTGTTCTTGATCATCCCGCCGATGTCCGGCCTAGGTCCAACAAAATTGCGGGTGCAGCTGGATGGAACCTTCCTGCTTGCACCACTTTTTTGCAGCAACTGACACGATTGCCCTTGCCACATGACAAGTGCATGCGCCAGGCAGCGTGCAGCTTCATCAGGCCTGGCAACAGGCAAGAAGAAGAACAGCAGATGCCACTCCACGCTGCCAAGGGACCATCGTCATCCGGGTGCACGTTGGCAAAGTGGCAATCGGTGAACATCTTGGGGGCGATTTCAAGTTGAAGCCAAGAGCTGGGGGGTCTGAGACTGGCACAAAGTAAGCATCCGACTGTCTTCTTCCAGAAGAGTGGTATCAGGGGTGGCAGCCCACACCACTTCTCGCATGCCACGACTTGGTCGCCCTTAGTCTGCGAGGCAATGGCAAAACCCCAAGAAGGCTCTCCAGGTGCTTCTGCGCTCTAAGGCTCTCACCCACTTGTTGAGCCCTCAGTAACACTCATGCAATACTGTCAGGTCGGCAGTGTCGGGGTTGGTGGTTCCAGTTGTTCATTCGGCTGGTCCTCATACTGCGGTGCCTCTGTGAGGAATTAGCTGGGGTTTGCTACGTCAGCACTGATGGAGACTCTCTTCAGAGTTGAAGTGCTAGAAGCTGATTTTAGCATTCGGCTGTGGGTTGGGATTTTTTTTGGACAGATTGTTTGTGCTACCTCCGGCTCTCCTGCCAGCAGAACTGACCCCGAAGCTCGCATTGTCCCTGTGCATTGACTGAGGAACCGGCGGCAGTCATACCAGGCTCCCCCTCCGGCGCACAGCAGCTTCTTAGCACCAGCTGCGCATGTTGAGGATGAAAAGGCGGCAAGCACAATGTGGTCACTCACAGCCGTGGGATTTTACCAATCAGACTATTCCTGCATCTCAACCTGTTCACGCCGTGGCCCGTGCTTCCGGATCAAACGACAGGAAGCCTCTCTCAGGCATGTCAGACAGCGACTTCAATTCTGCGCTTCGCAAGGATCGCCCATGGCACATCATGCAGCCATCATGCAAGTGCAGAAGCCGCTGAGGTTGAGCTGGACTGGTTTGAACAGAGTCATGATGCTTCAAGTTGCATCAGGAGCCCTACATCTCGTGGGATTGCATGCCCGGGCACCTGTCCGGACGCGATGCAGCACGATGGGCGTGACATCCAGGCCATGACAGGAAAGGACCATCGGCGACTACCCCCAGGTGGGAACTGAACGTTTTCTTGTGCTCAGCGATACAAGACTCCATACCTGGGAACCTTCTCGCTTCGTGATGACGTAACAAATGCCCTCTAAAAGCCCTATAAGCCCGAAGCCGTCATCCCACCAGGGCTTTGCGTTGCACGGAATGTGGGAGTCAATCGCCATGGATGCCTACCGGTATGTGCAGCTACTGAGGGCCAAGGCGGGCAAGGCCAACCTTGCAACAACGGACACATATGAAGCAGGGTTTATATTTCTGGTACCCCGAAAAGGACACCCGGTATGTACACTCACCAATATTAAAAGGGAACCTTATATACCCTAAACTCTAAACCCTAAACCCTAAACCCTAAACCCTAAACCCTAAACCCTAAACCCTAAACCCTGACAGTAATATAAACTCTACTTCATATGGAAGTTGTGGCTCACTCCGAGGCTTCTCCGAAACTCGGGGGGGTCCCTTTTGGAGGCCTCTTCCTGTACGGGAAGTCATAGGAATGCCACAATAGAGGGCTAGGGTTTAGGGTTAGGGTTTAGGGTTTAGGGTTTAGGGTTTAGGGTTTAGGGTTTAGGGTTTAGGGTTTAGGGTTTAGGGTTTAGGGTTTAGGGTTTAGGGTTTAGGGTTTAGGGTTTAGGGTCTAGCGTCTAGGGTTTAGGGTCCAAGCTACAACAACCCTATGTGCTTGCGTGCCTCTCTTGCATGTTTTGCGCGAAAGACTCGCCGGCTACAGAGGGAGACCCATGCCGTCGTGTTGCGCAGGCGCGTCAAGGCTTGTAGCACGTACCTTCTGGATAAAGCAGGAACTTCCTAAACCCTAAACCCTAAACCCTAAACCCTAAACCCTAAACCCTAAACCCTAAACCCTAAACCCTAAACCCTAAACCTTGCAATGCAAGGCAAAGCATGAAACCCTAAGCGCCACAGGAAACATGCAGCAGGGAACTATGCCCATCTGAATGCGGGATGAGCTGCTCGCAAAGCCGGGTCCTTCACACCTGCCTTCTGCAAAGGTGCACTGCAAGCAAGTCTTTGCCTCGCAGTGGGCCTCAGAACCAATCCTCACCCTCGCGTCCTACTCCGACACAAAAGGAAATCAAGAACTGCGGTGCCCATGTCAACGGGACAGGTGGCGTAAGCAGAGTGGCAGCGAGACTCATCTCGGAGAAAGGACTCGCAGTGTCCTGAGCCGTGGAGGGCTCATGAAAAACCCTGCAGTTTAGAAGTCGATAGGGTTTGAACCTCCTAACTAAATAATAAAGGGTTGCGCACATGTGCAGCCACAAGAAGAGTAGGGCCAGGGCAGGTCCAGGAAATCTTCGCTCTTTCAAGGGAATTTGAGGAATCAGGGAACTAGGAACTGCCGCATATGGATCTCTGAGAGGCTGATCAGGAAGATAGGACCTTTGGTTGATTTCCGAGGCTTCCTCCCGCTTGCGACTTCTTATCGGAAAAAAATCTGTTGGCATGCCTTCTCTAATTCCTAAAAGGCCCTCAGCCTGAAGAACGCACGCAAGCTGCCAAAGAGGCAGCGCAGGATGCACGGATACTCGCTCATTCTCCGTACGCTCGCGGATTCCAGGTTTTTGAACGGCCCGCTGTGCATAATTATACTAGCACCTGGACCCCATCCTCAGGTGCGACTGTAGGCCCTATTGGCGCTAAAGCCCCAGCCCTGAACCCTAAAGTCCTGAACATCCTCGCAGCAGGGTCCCAAGCACCATGAACCCTAGAACCCCTAAACCGTGAAGGCTCCAAGCCCGAAAACAGACTAAACCCTAAAGCCTAGACCGCAAAAACCGAAAGGCCTAAAACCCTACCCTAGACACTCTAAACACCAAAACCTAGAAGCCCCCCAACCCCAAGCCACTAGACCGTTGGGGATGCGGGGGATGTGGGGGGTGTGGGGGGATGTGGGGCGGATGTGGGGGAGATGGGGGGGATGCGGGGAAGTGGGGGAGTGGGGAGTGGGAGAGCGTGGAGTGGGGGAACTGAGTGGGGTGGGGGGAGTGGGGATGTGGGGGTGTGGGGGGGATGTGGGGGGGGAGGTGGGGGGGGGATGTGGGGGGGATGTGGGGGGGGATGTGGGGGGGGATGGGGGGGGATGTGGGGGGTGTGGGTGGGATGGGGGGGATGTCGGGGGGGGGGGGGGGGGGATGTGGGGATGTGGGGGATTGTGGATGTGGGGGATGTTGGGGGATGTGGTGGGGTGTGGGGGGCGGGATGTGGGGGGGTGTGGGGGATGGGGGGGTGGGGATGTGGGGGGATGTGGGGGGATGTGGGGGGATGTGGGGGGATGTGGGGGGATGTGGGGAGGGGGGAGTGAGTGGGACTTTGTGGTTGGGTCAGAGCCCCCTTCTCAGAGAGGTATTTAGGCAACCTGAGGGAAGCTTAGGGAACAGTTTCTAAAGAACATTCATGGGGTTAGTTACCCCTCTTGGACCCCCCCTCCCTAAGGATCATATACTGCTGCAGTCCTGCGAACTGGCCTTTGCAGGCTGCTATCGGCTGGGCAGTCTCGCTTTTCTCGGTGCGCAGGAGCACTGCCTTTCCGACATTAGCTAAGAGGGGATGAGAGGGTTTGTATAGGATTCAGAGTTTCGTTGTCTGGAGTGAACTTCCGGTGTCAAGAAGATGAGCCGCGGTACACCTCCAGGCTGCACCTGCACTGCCTCCCAGGATGGAGGAAGAGACTTGCCAGGCGGAAGATGGCACCATTATTATAATGAATAGAATAATTATTATTGTTACTATAATTATGATTCTTCTTCTTACTATTATATTATTTTTATGATTATTGTTACTATTATAATTCGGCTGGTGAAGCGGGCGTTGCTGCCGACCTGTGACTCCGCAGCCAGCGCTGTGGCCGAAATGTGCCTGCATGACTCAGCTTGACTTTGAAAAGTCATGCCTAAAGCCCTAAACCCTAAACCTTAAACCCTATAAACCCTATAAACCCTATAAACCCTACAAACCCTATAAACCCTATAAACCCTATAAACCCTATAAACCCTATAAACCCTATAAACCCTATAAACCCTATAAACCCTATAAACCCTATAAACCCTAAACCCTTCTGAGGTACACGCAGGCTGGCCAACAGCAACCACCTCCATGGAGAGCAGCACAAGAGACGTGAAGCACTCGCAGGCACGTCATAGAGCTCAGGGTTAGGGTTTAGGGTTTAGGGTTTAAGGTTTAGGGTTTAGGGTTTGGGGTTTAGGGTTTAGGGTTTAGGGACACATCTTGCTTCCGAGCACCTGGCCTCAGCTGGACGGAGACCATCTGGCAGGAAGGACTGACATAGAACTTGGACAACACTGAAGGTTGCTTCGAGCCGAGTGCATTGCGGCTTTTTTCCGCTCGTTCTGCTGCAAAATGGCTGCCGTGGCGGTGCCAGCGCTCACCGACCTATCACAATTTCACAACATCCACGTTGTTTATTACTACGATTATTAGTATTACTATTATTACCTATTGTTATCGTTGCTATTTTTATTACTACTACTTAATTATTATTATTATTATTATCCCCCCCCCCCCCCCCTCCCCTTTTGCGTGCGGCAGCAGCGGACGGCCCGAGCCAGTCAGTGTGCCCCATTTTGGCAGGCACTGCTTCTTTGTGGCTGCAGGCACAGGACGTAACACTGGAGCAAACTGTATTTCCGTGTACGTCCTCCCTACACCAAGCTGACAAGCTGAAGCTTGGTACCCAAGGCAGTGCGGCATGTTGTACACAGCATCTTACAATTCATACATACATATCCTATACTCCCCTTAGAACCTTAATACAAAAAATGTTTCATATCCTCTTGGGTTTTATATAAACAAAAACAAGAAACCTCAAGGGGGATATAGTATCTCGTACATCTTCAATGTCTCACCTCTTCGATGCTGGTCCTCAAGTGTAGTCAAGTACACTCTGCCCTGACACGAGCATTCTCCTAAGGAATTCACAGCTTTCGCACAGCCTTGCAATCTGAGAAGACCTCTGCTGGAGTGGGTACTGAGGGGCACAGCCCCGACAGCGCTTCCAAACACCGGTCTCCATACGCACATGCAGAGAGCAGTGCCTGTGGAAAACGTGGGAAAAAGGCACTGAAAGGCATTTGTTTCCTTGCCGTATCACTGCACTACATAGCCGCCACCTCTCCTGCGGAAAAAAAAACAGCAGGCAAGACTCGCCCTTCCAAAACCCGAAACCCTAAAGCTCCTCATCTCTTTCTCCCTGTAGCCCATAGCCACACCTATCCTTGCCATCACGCAGTCCGAAGTGGAATCAGGCTTTGCGGAGTTGTGGGTTTGGGCTCCAGGAATCCTCCTGGTGCTGCAGTAGGGAAAGCGAGAACGGGGGAAAACCCCTGAGGTCTGGGCCGAGCGCTTTGAGCTGTGTCATATACATCAGCAAGGTTGGAGACCTAGCGGCCCCAAGCGAGCCCAAAACACCCAATAAGGATCACCTACGATATGAGCACTTCCCCCAAAATTGGTGACCCCCTTGAATACCCCAATAATCCTCAATATACTAGAACCTTATGGGAACTCCCAGAAGAGACCCCTGATGTTCGGCAACTCCCATATGGCTAAGGTATCCTGAGGCACGTCGGGATTCATGGCCCAGCATTGCTTGCATAGAAGGGCAGTGGCGTCAGTTGCACATTGGAAGACCTGTGCTGAGCGCGCGGACATCTCGAATCGTGTCCTGGATCTTCTTGTGAAAGGTCTGGTAGTCAACGCAGTACTGCCTCCGGACTTTGAGTTTTGGGTTTGGGGCTTGGGCTTGAAAGGGCTCTTTGCGAAGCCTGCATAGCCTTTCAAGAGAAGTCCAGAAGGTCGTGTACTCCGACAGTCGCTGATCAAACCTCTCCTTGAGGCAGAGTTTGTTTGGCAAACCAGTCAGCTGAACACATATGAAATGTATACTACATTTATATTGTGCAATATATGACATGTAATATGTATATATATATATACATATATATGCAATTGTACAAGTCAGTTATTGCTCTATCTGCCTTTGAGGGGGTGCCCGAGAAATAAGGGACCAGTATGCAACAGGGACCCAAAATCGGGCAAGAGCTTTGAAAACTGATGATAGATAGATAGATAGATAGATAGATAGATTATATATATATATATGAAGTCTAATATGTATATACACAAGCACAAAGAAGGACGCGAGCGAGAAGACTTACGCGCCAGGAATTGGTGGAGCACTGCAATGCGCTGCATAGGCTTCGCGCACGCAGGAGCTTGCTGCTGTTGGCGAAGTTGACGAGACATTCAGTGTGCTCCTGCGATCAGAAACGCAGCATGCAATGTGCACATGCGAGGGCGTGGTGCCAGGCGTCCTTCATCTGAGCAAGTTTCTGTACAGTGCCATCCATGTTCGCCCAGAATGCTGAGCAGCCCTAGCAAAGCAGCGAGGGATGAAGAAAGAAAGCAGACGCCCCAAGCTTGTCTCAGCCCTGAAAAAGTGGCGCCTGAAGGATCTCGTCCACGCGCTTCAGCTCCCGAAGAGCTCGAATGAGACAACCCGAGGTGTTTTTGACAAATTCCTCAGGCGCCATGACTGTCCACTTTTAATCGGAGTACTTCTAGCCTTACTCTTGCTTCTAGCATTACTCAGCATCGCCCTGCGTTTCTCGGCAGCATTGATGCATCTACTGTGGTTCAAACCCTACTAAACCCTCCATGAACTTCGCATGCCAGTCGGTGAAGCGAACATTTGCGGGAACCCACGGATTGCAAGGTTTGGATGCTGGCGTCTCGTCATCCCTCAGTTGAAGTAGTGCTCCATGTCTCTCGTATACGATCCCGAAAATCAACTCAGATCCGACCCTACGAAGGCTCTGCTACATCGAATTCCAGCGCGCTAGGTTTGCAGGGTCTCAAGGTGTTACATGGATGTACATATATGTATATATATATATGTATATGTATCATATGACTATTACTACAACTCTGACTGTTACCATTACTAATAAGATTACTATTGCTGCATGTGATATGTTATGCTTGTATATGTATATATTGAAAGACAGAGTGTATATACATATGTCTGTGTGTCAGAACAGATTAGATGCTATACGGAAAGTATTGTTCTATATAGTATGCTAATATTACTGACACTCTATATATGAATATATATATAATACTATATATACACATATAAATGCCTGATACATGTTGTTGCATATTTCTAACTATGAGTATACTATATGTAATATGTGTTCTATATACAATACATGTTTTGTGCCATCTAATACCTGAAACATATATATATATATATGGTCACCCCCCCCCCCCCCCAAGATCTACACCCTCCTGGTCTACACTACTCTTCTGCTTGCTTCCATGCACTTGTGTACAAGTAGTGCACGCCGAAAACACTGTAAATACCAATAAAATCGTACTTGTCGAGTACTTCCGCGACTATTTTACGTAACACATCATGCATGCAAAAGTCTGTAAATCTGCAACCGAATTTCGGTTCAAAATTATGTGACCTTATATACTCCGAAGGCCCAAAAACCTGCAAGGCATAGCAGTCTCAAAAAACTCGTTTTTTGTGTGTGTGTTTTTAACTGTTGTCTTAGTAAACAAATACGTGCTAAGCTGCACGGGTCAACACTGTTGCATTGGTGTGCTTTAAAATATGTACTAGGTGGTTCAATAGTATCTAATGTGTCTGTTTGATCAACATTTTGCTTGGAAAAAAACGTTGCTTAGGAAAATTGCATTATTTGTATCGAACACCTGAAAACCTAAAAGTCCAAATGTCGCCAGAGATTCTCCCAAGGCTTTAGGATTTGGAACTTCCCAGTACTATGATCTTCACGAGGCCGATAGGTTTCCAAGAAAAAAAATGTATTCTTGAGCTTGTCAATGCGAATTGTGCGTTTTAGACATAATATAATCTGTACAAGTGGTATTTAATTAGTGCGCGAGCAGTGTTTCATCATCATGTAATGAAAGCTTCTTGTTTTATAGTCAAATCTAGTACGCATAATTGTTGTGCTGAAGTCGTGTTTGTGTAAAAACTTTACGTTTCTGGGAGAATTATGTATTTGTAAGCTCGTCGATGCTGTTTAAGAGTTGCACGTTTCTAGGAGAACTGTGTACTTGTAAGCTTCTCTATGTGAGTTGTGCGTTTTAGACATAAGGCTAGGCTACTTCACTAGCCAGCCTCTTTCATATGGTATTACTTCAATATTCTTGCCGCACTACGTGTTTAGAAAAGTATTTGCCTGGGCTTGGGACAAGCATTGCTTCTCTAGAAACAAAACGATTTGCTTAGAAAAAACACTTTGTCCCAAAAATTGCAGTATTTGTCTAGGTTGCCGAGCACAATCGCTATATTTCGCAATAGATATTCTTTGAGTGAACAAAAGCTAGGATAGTTCACTCACCTCTTTCATATAGTATTTGTTCAATATTTGCCTAGTACAGGCACTATGCATCTAAAAAAGCACAGCATTTCCCTAGGTTTTGGGCAGGCACTATTTCTCTACAAGATATGTAAAAAAAAACAAAATCAGACAACCCCAAAAACCCACAAACCAAAACAAGCCAAAACAAAAAGAAACAAAATAACCATTGTTCTGTGACTCGTGGAAAGATGAAGCCAAAAAAACAAACAAACAAACAAAAAAAAAAAACATTATTCCGAGACTCTTGGACAAAGGGAATAACTTCCCCTTGCCGTCAAGAGTTCGGAAATGATGGTGTTTTTTTTTTTCGGTTTTTTGGTTTGGGTTGTCTTGGTTGCACCTTTCCAAGAGTCTCAACAATGGTATTATTCGTTTTGTTTTTTTTTGGTTTGTGGGTTTTGGGCGTCCTGATTTTTGCATTTTTGACTTTTTTGGGTTCTGGAAACCTGTAAACGTAGATCTTGGGGGGGGGGGGGTGGGGGGGCGAGCATATATAAAGATATATGTATATATATATATATATAATGTACAAGCAGAATAGTTGTAAATCTAGGTTGCTCCTTGTTCGAGTGCCGCTGCTTGAATTACGTACGCCCCCTTGCAGCCCCAGTTTTCAGCACATTTCCATATTGAAGCCATACAGCAGAGCCTGAACATGACGTCCTCACAGTAAACGCCTACAGTACAGAGAACCTTCTCTTCTCGGAGACCCTAAACTGCAACTGAAACCCTAAGCCCTATAAACCCTATAAACCCTAAACCCTAAACCCTAAACCCCAAACCCCAAACCCAGCCCACAAGCCCACCCTTGCTATGCCCCAAGCTTGCTCAGCTTGGGATACTCGCAACTTGCTTATGTTGGCCCTTGCGCGGCGCAGCTTGTTTGGAGGCCCCTAAGATTACATCCAAGCAATGAAGCGCACGTTTAGTCTACAGTGATTAAAGACGTGGGATTCAGAAAGCCCTCCAACCGGAGAACATGACGAAAGCCCCTTGTAAACCCGAACACACAGCTTCCATGAGACGAAGGTGTCTTACAAGGCGTGTGAACGCAGTGAGTGGCCCATTAAACCCCACGCTAATGAACAGGCCGGCGGTCGTGAGGTGGGCGAAAGAAGAGGAGCACGAGGATCAACCGGATAAAGGGCCGGTAGTTATGTGGCTGAGGCATTGACTTTCTCATTGGCACACTCGTTGTACTGGATGATGGCGTCTGCATACGCATCCTGCTCAAAGTTTCGACAGGTTCCGACGCATCCTCTATTTTGGGCCTCTCCAATAGACTCACAACATGACATGGTCTGCCTCGTCCATGTTGACATCCTGCAACACACACAGCGTTACATTCAACTGTCCTGTTTTTGGCATGTTCTGGCAATGTGCAAAAAAGACTCTCACAAGACGTCCCCCAGAAAAAAGAAAAAACTCAACTCTAAACCCTAAACCCTCATACCTATAAACCTTAAACCCTCAAACCCGAAACCTTAAACCCTCAAGCCTGAAACCCTGTTACCCTCACACCTTGACAGCCCGCGACTTTTGGAAACTGCATTGGGGTGGTGCCATCACGCAGGTTTAGGGTTTAGGGTTTAGGGTTTAGGGTTTAGGGTTTAGGGTTTAGGGTTTAGGGTTTAGGGTTTAGGGTTTAGGGTTTAGGGTTGAGAGTTGAGGGTTGAGGGTTGAGGGTTTAGGGTTTAGGGTTTTGGGGTATCTCGCACCTCGACGGAGCTCTCGGCATGGCCTGCAAATTGCTTACAAAGTAGCGGAGAGGATGCGGGGGGGCTCTTTAGGACACTTCATCTTAACGTAACATTAACACTAATATGAACAGTACCATTGTATCATTCATAGAAAAACATGAATACTCGTATTAATATTGAGATTAAATATGAGTCGAGAAAATATTGATCTGCCTGAAAGGGCCCACAGCTACAACTTAGCCCTTTCCTTGCCTCGAGAGATGCTTGACTGCAGGCTGGGCTCAGTCTGCTCTGCCTGAGTCTGCACCAACATCTCATGCTCTGGAAATTCACTTAAATGGTTTAGTAAGTTAAATAGTTTATATAGTTTAAATGGTTTAAATAACTTAAAAAAATCTCGGGGAGATTGGCAGAGTCCTCGGCAGAGTTAATGACCTCGTGAGAAGAAGAGTCCACTCGTGGCAAAGCCTGCCCAAGTCTACCATCTGCCCAATCGGCACAACAGCCCTAAACCCTAAACCCTAAACCCTAAACCCCAAACCCTAAACGGCCTGAGGAGGCTGGAAGGGTTCCGGCTTTGGAAGGGATTTCTGTCCCATACCGGGTGCCTGGGCTCGCGATGTGTCTCCGTGGATACATGGCCCGAACTTCCATAAGATCCAAAAAACAGTAGCTGGCTTGGCGACTGGCCATGAACAGCAAGTCCAGCACGTCAGACTTCCACTCCTGCCAGACAGAGCCAAGCATGCCTGGAAGCATGACCTCCCAAAGCAATACGCCCCAGGCTCGGAGAGACTTGGGAGGAGTAACAGAAGCCCAGTGGACGCCAAAACATAGCAAAAACAAGAACAAACAAAACATTCAAAGCAACGAAAACCCCAAAACCTTGCAATCCATGACTGCATCAGCCTCCAAGTTGTCTGCCAGCGGCAAGTTGCTGGCATCGCCAGCTCCTTCCACGCAGGGCCATTCGCATAATCAATTCCTGAAGGGTCCTTTGTACTGGGTCGGGTCTTCCTAGGGTCTTTTGTTTCTCGTTATGGGGCGTCGAATTTCTTTTTTGCTTGGGTCCTTGGGTTTGTTTTTTATGACATCTTTTCTTTCACTTATGCTTCGATCGGAAAACGTGATTTCCTCGATAAATACTCTGCCGTTCTTGATGTGTGTACTGTTCGTTCTCTCTGTATTGCTCTCTTTCGGTAGTAGCCGTCGTAGTCGTCGTAATGGTTGTGGTTGCCGTTGCCATTGCTGCATTCTTCTTCGACTTATTCCTTGGTGTCAGTGTTGCTGCTGCTTTAGTTATTGTTAGTGTTGCACATGCAGATGCTGCAATTGCAGCAGCTGCGAATGGCCAGAGCATCCATGTCCGCCCGATGAGAAAGTCCGTGTTACCAGTGCGTGCGAATGGCCAGAGCATCCATGCCAGACTTGCCAAAGCGGTAAAAAAGCCACATACACGTAGCTTTGGCCCTCAGAAGTCCTTTAAAAATACAATTTCTGCATGTGGTGTCAAAAAAACCGCGCGAAAACCCAATTGCGACCAAGAATGTACGTCCAAAAAAACACCCGAAAAACCTGCGCGTGCGCGAAAACCACTCATTTTCAGAAGCGAAATTCTCGACCGCAAAAAGTTAATTTCACGACGCCTGAAGACTAAAAAGCCAAGGGAACACGCGATTTTGCAGAAAACGCACAAAACAGCAAAATCGCGCTTTACGAAAGGGGTCTGTGACCCCGCCCCAGGCCCCGCATGCTGAAGTTTACCATGCCTGCAAGTGTTTTCGACATATCACATAAAGAAAAGCATGCGGACCGTTACGAAGCCGCGACCTTGTTCTTCTTGTTATTGTTATTGTTATTGTTATTATTATTGTTCTTGTTCTTGTTCTTGTTCTTGTTCTTGTTCTTGTTCTTGTTCTTGTTCTTGTTCTTGTTCTTGTTCTTGTTCTTGTTCTTGCTCTTGTTGTTGCTGCTGCTGCTGCTACTGCTGCTGCGGGGTTTGGCTTCTGTCCTTCGAGTCCTTCCCTTCGTTCCTTTGCTTCCCGTCCTTCCATCGCTTCCTTCTGTTCTTCATTTCCTTGCCTCATTCCTTCCTTTCCCTGCACTCCCTTTCTTCCCTCCTTTCCTCCTCAAGTGCCGTCCCGTGGATTTCACACTCACACTTTCGAAGCCTCTAACATGGGCTATGATGCCTGTTACAGCCCCTTCAGAAGCCCTAGAAAGGGCAGGTTGAAGGGGTTGCGCGGCTATAATGGCCGGTTCCACCGGTTCCACAGACACGAACTGAGCTGACATGCTGTCGTTCTCCTGGCCGCAGCGGCTTCTTGCCTGGGAAAGTCTATGGCATGCACGCTACGATCCCGAAACAGCTGAAGTACATCTGATGAGTAAATGCCCCAGGCCTTCTTCTGGAAGGCCCGACAGCTGATCAAACAAGTGCCTCTCGACTCTCGATGCCAGCGAATGTTGCCGTGGCTGCAACATGTTTCACCAGGACAGGCCTTGTCCACATGTTCATGCTGAACCTGAGTCTGCCATCCAGCCAAGAAATCGCAGTGTAAGCAGGGCGTTGCCAATATCTGTTTCGGCTAGCTTGGGTGCACAGGACTCCCCATCTAAACATGTATCATCGGTACAAACCCTAAACCCGAAACCCTACAATCACCTGGGCTGCTTTGTGGGTGTTCAAGGCAGGATGTGCGGTGAGGGCTGTTGAGGGTTGAGGGTTTAAATCGTAAGTGTCCTCCAACTCAGCCAGGTAGCGGCACACTCAATGTGGTCTCGTTCTTGCCTGTGAATCGAAGCGCTCAGAAACAAGATTCAAGCTGCCTCCTGAACCAGCAGAGGGGTTAGGCCTGGCTGAGGCTGTGGTACTTGAGGCGCCAAGGATTGTGGAACAGAACTTCCTGCAAGCTGCACAGTGAACTGAGACCCAGTCGACTCACAGACCAATACTACACCCCGGGGACCACAGGAACCCTTTTCGTAGGATCACGTGCCCCATACGACTCTCGAAACCCTAAACCCTAAACCCTAGACCCTAAACCCTAAACCCTAAACCCTAAACCCCTTCCAGGTTCACCGGGTCCCCAAGGTAGAGTTTCGGGGTCTGCGCGCCTCCGGCAACAATCACTTCGGGCCGCTGGCTTGCCACATTGCCCAGGCCTGGCAAAGAGACATAAGGTTTAGGGTTTAGGGTTTAGGGTTTAGGGTTTAGGGTTTAGGGTTTAGGGTTTAGGGTTACAGGAGCATGTGAGAAGTTTCAAAGAGGGACCCTTCGAACTTTTCGACAGGGTTTAGGGGTTTAGGTTTCCGGGTTTAGGGAAGATCGTGTCCATTCCTACTCCACCACACATCTCGCAGATGCAAGTCAGCAAGGCCTTCGCTGGTCTTCTTCTCCTCGTGCCCTCCTGATTCTCTTCTCACAAAACAGGCTTCCATGAGCATTTTCCTCCACCAAGAAACAACAGTTCTGAAGAACTTGCCCAAAATACACTAGATACCCTAAGTACCCCAAATACCCCAAAAATGCCCCAAAAATGCCCCCCCCAAAATGCCCCTAAAGCAGGCCTTCGAGGGCGAGAGAGGGAGGGCCAAACCCTCCAGGAAGCCCTGGCAAGTCTCCATCCATGTCGGCGACCTGTGCCACAAGGAACATATGAACTCCTGCCCCTGCATAGGGGTGGTTGTCAAGATTATGATCCCTTTTGGGGTACCCGAAATATTGGGTGCCGCATTATAATAAGGATCCAAAAAGAGACCATCACTTTGACAACCGCCCATATATATATATATATATATCAAGGCCAGTTCAGGACAGGCGCCTGATAGTGTGTGCTTACGGTATTAATCTATTCGGGGCCAATCGTTGGCGGCTAAATGTTCAACCCTAAGCCCTGGAACCTGCTCTTGTAGAGTTGCCGCCAGTCGCTGGTCAGCACTGCCTCGTTATAGGTAGGCAGTAGGAATAGTGTTTCGGGATTTAGGGTTTAGGGAGGCATTTGGGCATGCTGTACTCATCCGGCATGCTGTAGCAAGCCAAAACGACTCTCACCAAAGAAGACCAAGCCACTCTTTGCTCGCTGAGCACCGAGGATGAGGGTTTGCACGGACTCGCAGGGAAGGAGAATGTGCGGCACTGGGGTTCGGGTTCTAGGCTTTAGGTTCAGTGCAAGTGCCAATACTGAAGGAACTCAGCTCCTGCTGCAAGCAGCTGTAGTGCTGTTGGATTTGCTCCCCATCCTGCATTCATGTTCTCAAGAGCTGTGACCAGCATACCTGTTTAGGGTTTAGGGTTTAGGGTTTAGGGTTTCTCACGCAGCAGTCGATGCAAGGTCCTTCTTCATGTTGCTGACCCACTCTTTGACAATGCCAAGCCTCATTCCGCAGTGAAGAATCTGAACCCCAAAACTTTAGCGAATGACGCAGCTCCCGAGATCCTTGCAGGCTTACAGCTAAGTTCGGTTCCTTCTCCTGGTTATGCAAAGACAAGCGCAGGACTTGTGTATCGCATCAGGGCCATTGCCATTGAGCAGAAGCTCCTGAATGGCTAGCTTCAGGTCGGGAAGAATGTTGCGACTCACCTGCAGACAAAACACAGGACTGCTTTGCAAGCTCACAGGACCACATGGCGAATGTACATGAGCTGTCTCTCCCTCCCCTAAAAGCCCAGCTTGAAATTGCCTGTCGGATCTGCGCGGGTTTGACTTCGGAAATCAAGTTTCTGTTACCCGACTCTGAATCTGAATAATCTTCAAGACTCTAGGATTTGGGGTGTGCATGGGTTTGACCTGACAGAGAACAAAACAGACTTTTTTTTCTCCTCGAAGGCCCCTCGAAAGCCCCTGAAGGGCCACAGCGCCAGCAAATGTAGCCTGTTGAACGCCGCGACTTCGCGACGCTCCTCAAGCCCAACAACAATCTACAGTACGCCCATGGATGGCTGAAACGCATGGTCGCCTTGCTGCGATTGTACCAGACACAGGGAGGGTGTGGGAGCGGGAGGGGGGCGGCGTGGTTCTTTCTTGCCCTTATTGGTCCTGACGTGTCCTGACACCTAACGGCCTAACGGTCTTGAAAGGCAGGACTCTGCTGTCTTAAGGCACGTACTGTTGGAGTCGCTTTCGTGTCCAGGGGTCCCCCCCCCCCCCAAACAAAAAAATTGGGGTTTTCTCTATGGGCTGGGACCGGGGCTGGGGGTGGGTCTAAGCTTTCCAGGCTTTGTAGCTCCCTGGCCAGGAAGGCTGCGGATTAATGCGGGTAACCGAAAAAAAACTACTAAAAGCGAATCAGGGCAGCTCGTGGGCTACTCCCTTGGAAAATTGTTTGGGTTTCGCAAATTATGAAATTTTAAAATTAACTTAAATAAAGCCGGACACCAGATAATTCCGGGGACTTTCTTGTTCGGCTCCCCGGCCCCCCGCCCTTTATCTTTGGGCCGCACACTTCGCAAAATTGCGGACCACCCTCATCAATGGGTCCCCTATGGGTTTAGGGTTTAGGGTTTAAGGGGAAGTTTTCCGGAAGAACACCTTTTTTGCGGCCCCTGTAGCGAAAGCGCGTCCAACATTAAGGAGATTGATGCCGAGATGACAGGGGAGCTTTCCAGATGGCAGCAGTATTGCCACATTATTCTGAATGTCTTCTGTGTTTACTACTAGTATCGGTTTGATAGTTCTGGTGCATTTAGACCTACAATTTCTTCGATTGCTGCTTCGACTTGTTCGTCATCGGCAGCGCCAGGCAGATTTCACGCATTTTGCTCGAACACAGTTGCAGAATCATGCACTTTCTACACCACTTTGGCGCGACTGCTTGATGCGCTTGTCATCCGGATAGTCATCATTTTGAGCCGTGAGATGTGCGCGGGTTTTGAAAGTAAGGCTATTTACTCGTCACCACTGTAGTCACAACCCTTCACGCAACATGGTGAACTAGGCTAGCCGCTTGCCCTCTCTGACCCCCGCGAAGATTGGAGAAAAAACCTGATCCTGCAAATAAAGGTAAGTTAAGGTAAGATGAAGAATGTTTCAAACATGATCATCTAAAAAAGATAACAAAAGATAAAGAAAACCCCAAGGACACACCTTTCTGAAAGTGCCTGTAATAAATTCGAAAATGATAAGCAAGACAAAATCATGAAAGCATGAGATACAAATATGAAATCCACACATTTCGGACTGGGGTACCTGCCGGGAGTATTTGCAGGTAGTTCAACACTCCCTCCAGCTGCCCCAGTTCAGAATGTTCTTGTAGCGGAGTAAAGGCTGGAGGCCTGCTGGGCCACCTGGGCGTAGCCAGCGACGGCAGCGGCGGCTTTCGCAGAGAGCGTGTTCGCCTGAATCGGACGACAGGACTTAGACAGGCCTCTGCTACGATGGCGTGGATCTAGCTGGCCTCATTGAAGGCTCGGCGGATGCTGTCAGACAGGTCTGTGTCCTGGTGGGAAGGATGACAGGATGGTGCCGTGTGTGGCAGGCCATGTAACCTGCGGCTGCTCGAAATGAGGCCACCGCAACCCCCCCCCCCCCCCTCCCCCGCCACCCTGAACCCTAAACGCTAAACCCCTAAACTCGAACAAGCCCTGATCAAGTGGCGGTCCGCATGCCGGAAAGCCAACGAGGCAACTTCCAGCGAGCTGGAAATCGAAACCTGCACAGGATGTGAGTTAGGGTATGTCGCGGGTACCCTGAATGTACACGGTCGTGGTCGCAACAGGGAATGTGCAAAAGGGACGACCATGCAGAGACCGAGAAACTCATTTTGGGCAATTTCGCAACTAGGCAGCCCTCTCCAAAATGTAGGCCTGAAGCTTGAGGAGCTCGTTCAGACAAAAGATGAGGTCCTCGTTTACACAGGGGGTTTACGATCACAAGGGACCCCTAATATAGACCCCAGATAGTAGGATCCGACCCCAAGAAGGTACCTCCTACTATCGTAAGCCCCCCCTTCCATCACTGTTCCATGGTGCTTTTTGGGCGTTGCTTCCATCAGCTGCAAAGTTTATACGACTTGGCGTGGTTTAGGGGTTAAGGGGTTTAGGGTTTAGGGTCTGGCTTAAAGTCCTCGTCTTCCTCAGGCTGCTCGTTGACATTGACCAGGGAGGCCTGCGCCAACTTGTGTTTAGCTTACTGACTGGGCCCCCTGTCAACCCTCAACCCTAAACCCTAAACCCTAAACCCTAAACCCTCCGCTGAGCCCGCTGCCCCAGGTGGCGGAAACTGTGCAGCCGAGGCTGCCGAGCCCTCAGAGGCCGGCGTCGCAGCCGCCTGACGAAGGCAGCTTAGGGTTTAGGGTTTAGGGTTTAGGGTTTAGGGCTTAGGGCTTAGGGCTTAGGGCTTAGGGCTTAGGGCTTAGGGCTTAGGGCTTAGGGTTTAGGGTTTAGGGTTAAGGGTTTAGGGTTTAGGGTTTAGGGTTTAGGGTTTAGGGTTTAGGGTTTAGGGTTTAGGGTTTAGGGTTTAGGGTTGCAGCGGGGTTTGAGGGGTAATTATAGTAGCAATATAGAAATTTGAGTGATTCTAGTAGTTACAGTATAGTATGATAGTAACTATACATAGAAGTTACTCTAGTAGTTATATGGTCATGATAGAACTTATAGTAATTATAGTAGTACAGCGTTGAGGTGGTTAGGGGGTTAAGGGCTTCTAGAGGGCTTAGGGTTAGGGTTTAGGGTTTAGTGGGCTTCGCGAAGCCGACGCTGCATGCAACAAGGACTGCCCTCCCTAACCCTTAACCCTAAACCCTAAACCCTAAACCCCTAACCCCTAAGCCCTAAACCCCTAAACCCTAAACCCTCACAGGCTGCTATCGGGGGCTTCCTTGGCGGCAGAGCTGCCGCTCTTCGCCCGCTCCTTCCCAAAGCTGTCCTGGCATTCTCAGACTCTCCAACAAACGGTAGGGTTTAGGGTTTAGGGTTTAGGGGTTTAGGGGTTTAGGGTTTAGGGGTTTAGGGGTTTAGGGGTTTAGGGGTTTAGGGGTTTAGGGGTTTAGGGGTTTAGGGGTGGGGTTTAGGGGTTTAGGGGCTGAGGGGTTTGGGGTTTAGGGATTGTAGAGTCTAGAACCACATGCATCCGAGAAAAACGTGAAGCTTAGGAGACAAGAAATGCAACGATGCACAACGCCATTTTCAGGCTAGAGAGTCTGGCTAGTCCAAGGCTTCAAGAGATTATGGCATGGCACCCTCGGCGTCAGACATCACTCGAGACTTGCGTCTGCATCTGGAGTCAGGACCCACTTGGTGCGAACACCTGCAGGTGATCCCGATTCCTTCCTGTTCCCTTCTAGGTCGTTGCTTAGCGCATCCTCGAGCTCGCTCTCGTAGCCGCGATCAAGGAAGTACGCCTGCAGAATTCGCTGGTCAAAACGTGGCGGAAAGCCCCGGCTACGTAGAAGAGACGAGGTTGCTTCAAGGTTTGCTGGGTCGAGCACGAAGGACGAGAATGTTATTCTCCCATCAGTGGCCACAGCGAGACTCGAAAGGCTGAAGTCTTTGCAATAGCCTTGCCCTCGCAAGTAGTCCAGCAGCCGACTGGCACCATTTGCCAGATCACTCACGGACCTTCCTTGTGATAGAGGTGGCTGCAGAGGAGGCCACGCACCTGATAACGGGGACGACATGTTTACAGGCGCATTGGGGTCATACTCATCTCCTTGGATGATGCGAGGTCCGACAGCATCACCAGAAAGGATTTTCCGGTACAGTCGCGCGCCGACGTTGAGGCCGAAGCGCTCCTGCTCACCTCGCCTCTTGATTCCATCTTGCAGGGTTCGGAACTGCACCTCATTGAGGAAGGAGAAGTACAAGCGATTGGTGCGCGGGTCTTTCTCGAGCAGCTGGGACTGGTTCAAGAGCCCTGAGAAGTCGTAGCTTGCAAATCGCTCCTTGAAAGCCGCGAAGCTTTCACTGCGCTTCTTGTTGAAGTTGGTCTGGTACAAACCCGGCTTTCCGAAGGGCCCACCCCAGTCCAGCGCAGCCTCCTGTGTCGTTCTTAGCAAGATCACAGCCGTTGCAACCGGAATCTCTGGTGCCTTCCTGAGAGTTCGAAACGTGGGGCCGCTTTCGGGGGGTGCGGGCGCAGCCATCGACGGGGCAGGTAGACCCGCAAGACACGCAGAGACACCCAACATCCGTCTGGAAACCTCCGTCGCCATTGTCGTTTTGCCACCACCGCCACTGTCATACAGAAAGCTGTGCGCATGACGCGCTTGCCAACAGTGCAGGTACGCAAGGAGAAGGCCCGCGAGCCATTTGGATTTCTTGCGCATGCTGCGCAGTCTTCTGCAGGGCGCCCTACAGATCCCTGTGCTCTTCTTTGAGGCACATGCTTCTAAGCCACAAGGCCTTCAGTTCCAGGTGATCAATGTGACTGGACAAACAATAAGCTGAACCGTTTCTAACTGCTTTAATAAGCACCGATGGGCGGGCCGATCTTGCCGAAAGATCACTCGATGATGGTGGGTGCGTGACCTGGATGGTCACGTGCACATCGCAATACATGCAAGCTTGGGATTATCCAAGCCAGACTTAGGACCAGGACGATCGGTACAGGACCCGGATGCGTCTGACAAGCAGCAAAGGCAGAGCATCAAGACTCTGTGCACCATCTCAAGGAATCGTCTCCGACCTCAGCTATGAAATCCTTCGGCACCATCTGGGGCAATGCCTGCGAGGGAGATACCGGCCAACGCTCTGCACTGACTCCTTTCCTGAACTGTCGTTCCTGGATGCACGCACCATCACATCCCCATGACTGCTGAACCCTAAACCCTAAACCCTAAACCCTAAACCCTAAACCCTAAACCCTAAACCCTAAACCCTAAACCCCCAAAATGAGGCCATGGCCCGAGGCGGTTCCATGGCTGGCGGAATTCCCCCTGCCCACAGGAATCGCTGGCACCTACAATGCTCTCGAGCGAGACATGGGACGTGGAGTCGCCTCCAGCCATCCATGGATGGACTATGCAGTCCTGGCAGGAGCTGGGGGGTGTAGGACATTCGGGGTACCTTATTAGAGGGTCCTTACTTTGAGGGGATCCTACTCGGTCTATATTTGGGGCCCCCTTAGTTTCGAAAACCCCCAGCTGAGTTTTCATCCAAGCCATGCCACAACGCCAGAAAAACCCGAATAGGAGGAGATGCACGCAATGCGGAGCTCCTCCAACTTGAGCCGGTCCGTGGGATTCACCTTCAGCAACCCCCGAACCATGTCCTGCAGAAGCAGCTTGGCTTCTCAAAGTCGCGACTCGACATCAGCCATCCTCCATACCCAAGGATCCTCACTCCGCATCGGAACCCTATGCTTGTAAAGCTCAGGTGCCCTCCGCCGGCTTCTGTTCAAGAAGACATGGGGGACCCACCCTGTTTTGCAGGGAGGTCCTCAAAACACAGGGCGTTTAGGCTTTAGAGGGTCTCGTACTAACTAGTTTCTGGAGGATATTCCCATGCTGTACAATTCGGAGGCTGTTGCAGTATGTGCAAGCAAGCGTGGTCCGTAGCAGAAAGTGCGAATGCGTGGCGTTTTTTTCAAGTTTCACCTTCTTCTCAGTTTCATACTAATTGCAAACTATTCTCAAGCTAGCATCAAACTCCAGTTTCAAACTCGCTGTTAAGAGGGAGCCGCACTTTCCAGCTCGCATTTATATGAGACCTAGGCATGCCAGGTTCTATGGATTCGCGCCCAGGAAAATGCGGTTCCCCCTTAAAAGCGAGGTTGAAACTGGAGTCTGGAGTTCGATACTAGCTATGAAACTAGTATGAAGCTGTGAAACGGAGTTTTTTTAAATGTCTAAAACTTAAATGATGCCACATATTCGGGCACAAGCTTTAGAAATGCGAAGGGTGCTCTCGCATTGGCAGGCGAATTGCCAGGCTTGCTGCGCGCTTGCAAACAGTACTCCGAGACGGTGGATGGACAAGATCGTGCATGACCCGGTGCAAGAAGACGGGCATAGAACATTGACTGGCGATCTTGCCAGGCTTCATGCGTACTCGAAAACCGTACTCCGCGACGCAATTTCGGGTAACTAGCGTTGACTAAGATCAACTGCTGGAAGGGGCTTCCAAGAAAGGGGGGGAAGGGGGAGAGGCGAGCGCACTTTCAGTCCCGCAGGCAGCCGTGGCCCCAGAAAATGCCGCAACACTTCTACTGCTGCGGGGACGAGCAAGAACAGGCAAGAAAGCAGACAGAAAGCAAGGAGACCTGCGACCCTAAGCTGACCCTGGCGTGCTGGTGGAAAGGCGAGGGTGTGTCTGAGACTGTCAGGCTTAGGGGTTTAGGGCTTCTAGAAGTTTAGGGGTTAAAGGGGTTTAAGGGTTTAGGGCAGTTTAGGGGTCCCAAGCCCACGAACCCATCAGACAGCCATGGCCTTTGCTTCCTCGGACACGCGCTGCCAGGCCGGGGATGTCATGCCTGGGCGACAGGACGCGAACCCGCAGGCCTACAACAAGCAAACCCAAAAAACCCTAAACCCTAAACCCAAAATCCCAAACCCTGCACCCTAAACCCCAACCTCTAAACCCTTAACCCGAAACCCTGAGGAAGCCAGTTTCATTGCGTCCTTGCTTGTTAGGGTTTGGGTTTAGGGATTACTATACTCCCCCCCAAAGCTGAGAACCATAATGAACAAAATATGTTTGTTCACCCCCCTTGCGCTCTGCATAAACAAACAGCAGGAGGCCACAGCATTAGGGTTTTAATTCACCGAGCTGCTGTAGCTGGCAGTTCGGATCTGCTCCTGTCCGTGCCAAAGCAGGGCCGCGAGTAATGCAACCAGGGCTTAGGATTTAGTAGGGTTTTGTCAGGGTACGGCCCAGAGCCAAGTAACAAAGAGGTCAAAGGGTTTCTTACTAGTTCTTATCAGGGAATTCGCTACCCGATATAATCCCATGGAAGGGTGGATAGTGCCAATAGGTCAAGGTCTCACGCTTATCTTCGGCCTCGAGCGGCATCGCTTTCCCGTCGAAAGGATAACGGCCACCCAGCATGACGAAGAGCACAGCACCCAGACTGGCCAGTTTAGGGATGAATTAAGGTTTGGCAACAGCACTTGAGAGAAGCTGAAGAGCTCCAGCATAGTCACTCGAAGAGTTCTGCCTCCAGAAATCCGCGGCTTGCGTGTAGACCCCACCGCCTCTCTGCACATTCAAGACCTAAGTGGAATTCAACAAAAGAACGAGGAATGGCCGGCAGAAGTAGCAACGACGCGCCAATGCAAGGCAGCGCCGAGCCTACATTTGTAGCCTGTGCAGAACAAGAGGGATCTTGGGGGGTTTCCGAAAATAGGGAACCTTTTAAAGATTGACACCCAAATTGTAGGATCACCTTAAATAATGAGGGCCCCAGTAAGGTACCCCTAAGTTCGGAAACCCCCCATTTCTCTCTGAGTTTCTGAGCTGGGTGCCTCAGGAGCCCAATACTGGGGTGTCCCCACAAAGGTCTTCGCAAAGGAGGAGCCCTGCGATCCAACACCGAAGTCTTTAGGGTTTAGGGCTTTGACAAGGGTTGAGGGTTTAGGGTTGAAGGAGCTGAGAACCTCGTTGATGATCTTGGAAAGGCCGAAATCTGCTATCTTCACCTCGCGCAAGATTCCCGTCCTGAGCAGAGACCCAGGTGGACGTTCAAAAATAATATCTGCTGGGAGCAAGAATGGGCAGAACAGACATCGGCCACATTCCCCCAAGGCTGGTACAAAGGCGGAGGCAGCTCCATGCTAGAGCCGATGAGGATGTTCTCTGGCCTTACCCCCGGTGGCAGCCCCCCAGACCCCCCCCCCCCCACCCCACAGCATGTCCAGACAGACTCGGAAACTGGCTTCAAGTCCCGGTGTATGACGTTCTTGGAGTGCATGTAGCCAACACCTCCATGTGGGCAGCTCTCAAAACCCAAAAGCCCCCTCTAAGCCCCTTGACAAGCTGAGTGAAGCCCGAATCTCGCAAGGCATGGGAGCGCGACCCATAGGGCCCTTAGAAGCCCTGTGCCCCTACAAGCTCCCCTAGGAACCTGTAACTAACCTCCACAAACTCTCGAACCTTGCAAGCCTGGAAATAAGCCCCTACTTAGTAGAAAACTCATATACGCCCCTTTGTAAGCCCCCACAAAAAGCCCTCTCAAGCCGTAACCCTACACCCTGCGAAGCAGGATTGGCACTACCGTTGAACAGCCCGCTCACGCTTTCTGGCACGCGCACCCTCCAGAAGTTGCCGAAAGATGTACTTCGCCTCAACTTCGTTGAGCGTCCTCCGAGGGCTTTAGGATGTAGGTTGGGATGCACAGGGGTTTAACTCTCAGAGGCTTCCAAGCAAAAAGAAGGGAAGCCCCGATTCGACCCTAAACCCCAACTGGGGCCCTGGCTTGCTACTCACAATCGCGTCGAAAAGCTCACCGCCCCGGACCAGTTCCATAACCTCGCCATGCAGGGCAGCGTCGTAGGATACAGCAAGTGAGATGCAACTCGGCTAGGCCCATTGACCTAACCCGAAGCCCGAAACCATCAACGCTAAATCCTAAATTCTGGTGGAATAGCCCAAGATGCCCAAGGATGCACAAGAGAGGCACAAGGGTGAAAGCAGCCCAAGCCCAGACGAAGCCGAAAACCAGACTGAGCTCGGCGGCTAGGAACACCCATTGCTTCGTTCTGTGTACATCATGGAGGTTGACTATCCTTGCAAACAGCTCGAAAAGCAGGCTGTGCCATGTCTTCTGGATTCGTAAGTGGGTTGAAGCGAAAACGACTGCGCAAAAAAAAAAACAAAATCCAACAGTCCACGTCTTAGATGGACAGTCCTCGGATGATGTAGTCCCTGCAGGATCTGCACCTCGCGATTCATTTTCACCTGGCCGGGCTCATGAGTCCAGGGGTTCAGGGTTTAGGGTTGCAGGATTTGCAGAGCATGACTCAGCTTTGGTTTTTCCTGTCTCCGGCAGCCATGCTTGAAAAGTATGGTGGGGCGGGCGACAGGCTGTGCACGTATTGCAGTCGGACAGGCCGCTGCCGGTGCATCCGTTGGCTTGATGCCTTTACATGCTTGACATTCCTGTCATACCCTGCATCTGATGGCAGGGGCGACTGCTGTCATGTGCAGCAAATGAATTAGCCAAAGTTAGCACTTTGCCACGGAGTCGGCCACGTCAGCTTCGATCTGCGCTGCTGCGACACCATCGACTTTCTCACCGGGTGCGTGGGTCTCTTGCCTCGCCTCCGGAGGGGGCTTCCATCTGACAACGGCTATGGCGCCAATGGCAAAGATGACGACAAAGGCACCGAGTTGCACGCAGCCCCATCGAGGAATGCCCCAAAACATGGGATCCTTCTCTCCAGGCGTGCTGTACCACGGCGCCGACACCAGGGCTATGGCGAACATGAGCAGAAGCAACACGAGGCTGGGCTCCCTAGATGTGGCCATGTAGGAACGAACTTTGGTGATGTCGAGCAACTCTTTACCCGATGAGCCGGGAATAAGGAAGTGCACCAGGGCAACGGTAAGGAAATTTAGGAAAGCTGACACGTTGATGTCGGGCACATATTCATCCAGAGGGTTGCCAAAAATCACGAGCAACAGTAGGGACAGAAGGCCAACAATGATGCCAGAGCTCACTGATCGCTCAGAAACTTTCGTGTAGAGGCCAATCCCGAATGCCGGCAGAAGCTGTAGCAGCATGCCGTTCTGAAAGACGATGATTGCGCCCATCTGGTCGGAGCTCAAGAAAGTGCCCATGAAGAAGGCTACGGCGCAGGTGAAGAAAGAGCTCATCACACCAACTCGCACCACAGTCTCGTTGGTCATTGAGGGTATCAGAGTTCCCTGTAATATGTCGATCGACACCACACTCGAAACGCCCATCAGAGCAGAGTCAGCTGTGGACATGATGGCTGCAAGAGCTGAGCACGTCATCACAGACACCAGGAAGTACTGGAATGGACCTGTCATTCACTGTCATTCGTTGTCATTCTCTCATGTCAGGGAGACTCAGGTCCCCACAAGAAATCGCTCAGAATCCTGGGGACGGGACCCACAAGCTTTAGCTGCGCAGTTAGCCCGGAGAAGGCCGTGGCTTCTTGATCAATAGCCGGCCAGGCAGGGTCATTGGCGGCCTTTGTGAGGCCGATCACGATGCCGGGGGGCTGGGCAATGAATGGGGCTAGCAGCATGGCGCCAATGACGATGCGCAAATCGAAGTCGCTCCGTGCTATGTAGGCTCGCTGAAGCATATGGGGCTGCACCGGGGCGGCAAGCCTCCGTACTGCGATAGGTACTTTGCCATCGTTTGAAGTTGCTGGTATGACCCTACTAGTAAGACCAAAGATGCTCATTCTGCAGTTGCTTTCAAGATTAGCCCAGAAGCATGTTCGTCAAGAAGAACAAGATGCTACAGAATGTTGATCTACTGGGGAAATCGTAAAACTCGGGCTGCGCAGCACCAATGCAGCCGGCAGGGAGGCATTCGGGCCCCACACAGGGAGCTGGCGCAGCAAACCGATCTGGTGCATGTGGCGAAACATGCTCCTCAGGATGGCTATTTTTTGGGGAAGAGCCTATGAACAATTAATCTTCCATGGGTTATATATTTTGCTATACTTACACGAGGTTGATATTGGGGATTCGTGAAAAATACCCAGCAAAGTTTTGCAGGATATTTCCAATCAACCCCAGGCACCAAATACTGGCAATCCGCAGGCGCCATCTGGGGTAGGAATCCCCACTCTGCTCCGATTAAGAAGGGAACAACCAGAAACGAGGCGATCATGACAATGCTCTGCACCACGTCAGTGAACACCACGCTGTTCATTCCTCCTAACATCTCCAAGGTTAGTATCATCGCACAAAACAGCAGCATGCTGACCGACTTTGGAAGGACTTGCATGGTCATCCCCTCGACCATGGCAGCGAAGGAGAGCATCTGAGCTGTGATGTACAGCGTCATTGGGATCACCCCACAGATGGCACAGAGGACTCTCGCGCGCTTTGTGCCGAAGCGATCCGAGATGAAGTCGAACGGGCTTGTGTAGTTGCGCTCCACAGCCAACCTCCGGAGCCTGAGGGCAGAGGTCAAATAAGCGGCAGGGGCCTTATTGCGCTGACGCTGGTGTTGCTGTTAAGGGGGGGTTCGAGGGATGTGTGAGGTTTTAGGAGGCCATGGAATGGTGTTCACAAGCTGAGACAACTCTGGTGCTCTCGACGGCTCTGTTCCCAACAATGGGAACGCTCATCTCGAAAACTTCTTGAGTCAAGTGCGTATTAAGTAAATTATTGACATGACTCATGACCTGGACCTTTAACAAAAATCCATCTCGCAAGCAAGCGCATCGCCCATGAGACCCGCGTGTGGCGTGGCCTGGGGTAGAGCAAGAGCATCCCCGCGACAATGACCAGAGTGGCGCCAATCCATCTGAGAGACACGAAGCCTTTGGAAAAGGCCTCGTCTGGAATCCCGGTAACCGTGAAACCTTGGTGCCAGATGTGCCGGAAGCGTATGCTACAGTACTAGGTTGCAGAAGTGAAGAGGATGCTTGCAACAGGCCGGCCGGAGTAGACGGTGGAGAAGGTGGTGAGCATGAGCACGAAGGAACCATAGGAGCCGCTGAAGTGAGCTTTCACCTGCCGATCATATGCCTTACGACTTCCATCGACTTCCGACTGCTGACGGCAGAACTGTGCATCTTGTTGCATCAAGTGTGCGCCTTGCCAAGCACCTGTGACTCTCTCTTCTTCCTCGCACGTGCCACATGCGCAGTGAAGACCAGTAGGGCGAGATAAACGCCCACAACAGCCTTAGGTACCATTTAGGCAGCATTTTGTGACTGGATCGAAGTGCTGAGCGGGTGCCCCAGGGCACGTACATCACCCTGCTGAAGGAACATCTTCTCAAGAACTGTTGCAGTGAACGGCCATCGCACAACAAACACCCCCACATGCTTGAAAAAGCTGAACGGTTCTACGACATGCATTAAGGGTGTCAACAGTGCCGCAAGCAGTACTTTCTAGACGGGGACTATATGCCAAGATGTGCAATCACTGTGAAAACCCTATTACAGTACTAGACACAGCTCAAACACGCCAAGACCGTGTCTTGGCGGATGATTTGGCTGCACCCTATACATACGCGCTACACGCTGCGAAAAACCCAGTACACAGAGGGACTCAGACTCTGTAACTTGTGGTCATGGAATGTGACATTCCGTACTCGATGCTCGTCCTTGTTCGTCCTTCCCACAGCGGCTCTGGACTGACTCGCGAAAAACCTCCAAAGCAGCCAGGAAGCGTACAGGACCAGGTTCCCACTTTGCTGCGCCTCCACAGGCCGCTCTGTCACAAAGGGATCTCACGTGAGCTGTTCGTGAACTTCGGCAGAGTGCGCCCGGCCTCTTCTGCGTGTGCCATCTTCTGCGGCTCTTAGGCGCAGCTACGGACTGTCTTGGGCTTAAAATGGCCCTGGCCCTCTGAGTCCAGAAGCACAAGGCTGGTCCAAGCATCCAACAAGAAATAGCAATACCTTTTAATTACTATTACTAGAATTATTCTTATTACTATTACTATTACTATTATTATTATTCATATTATTACTGTTGTTATTATTATCATCTCAGAGGTGCAAAGCGTGGCTGCGGGACAAGGTGACTTTCGTAGTCGCCCATGAGCATGAGCTTGGCCAGGTTGATCACCTGCAGCGGGCACGCCCTTGGCACGCATGATTGCGGGGGTGGGGTGGGGTGGGTGGGGGGGGAAACGTAACTAGGCCCTGACAGGTATCTTTTGGCAGTGGGAACTTTTCTACCAACGACGCCCATATCAGGATCCCTGGAGTCCGGAGGGAAGCCGCTGAGTGATGTCCACGCCGCCAGCGCTATGACATGAGTCGCAC